GGTGAGAGAGAGAGAGAGAGAGAGAGAGAGAGAGAGAGAGAGAGAGAGAGAGAGAGAAGGAATCAGATAGAACGAGATACGTCTTTCCATGTTTTCCTGATTTTCTTCTTCTCATCACTTTAGACTGCTTTAGACTACCAGTGTGCTGAGCCATCTCTCTCTTTGCTTCCAGATATACCGTTGCAGGCATCTGTGGGGAAAATAGTGCCATGGCCCCTATAGATATGCTCATTGAGGAAAACGACATCATTGTCATGACACCTCAGATTCTTCTGAATTGTCTCAATGATGGAACGCTCTCTTCCCTTTCACTGTTTACGCTGATGATTTTTGATGAGTGCCACAACACAACTGGAAATCACCCTTACAGTGTGCTGATGTCCAAGTACCTGGACCTTAAGTTTGAGCAACCCAACACACCGTTGCCTCAGGTAAGCCCTGGTTCTTCCCCTAATCCTAACCCATCCCCAGCCATGTCAACGATGTATCCCTGGCTCTTTTCTTGCATTTACCTCTGAAAAGTAAACATGCCTTTTATGGACGACCAGGTGAACCTCTTCCTGAGCAATGAGGTACCTGCATGTTGTACCTGCACCCAGATTGTTTGTATTCTCTGCTTTCAAAGTGTATGTAGCTTGGGCAGAAATTCTAGTATAAATTGTAAAATCCTGCACCAAGACAGTCCAGACTTAGCCCCAGAAAAAGTACCATTCTATTATAAATAGTAGAAATTAAGCATAGGTGTAGACTTAATCCTGCTTTGCATATCTGTATCATTCAGTTGTTACTGGGAGTGGGAAGGAGTGTGAAAGTCATTCAGATTGTGCTTTCCAAAACCAAGAAATCTAACTAGCCATCCCTTTGGCTTGTGAGATCTTTTGAAGCTTTGGCCATTCATTTTATTTACACACACACACACACACACACACACACACACACACACACACACGCATTTTTGGTGACAAATAAAAGAACAGATAATGAAGATAAGGGCTAGAAACATTCTCCTTTTAGAAGCTAAAAACTAATATTCTCAAGAAAGAACCTGAGGCTTCTATGCCCCAAACCCATTCTTGTGACCTTTTTGTTCTCCTGTGGAATCATGGTGTACATGTTGCCATTGTTTCTATGTAAATATAAGGTCTAAGGCAACAAAAGTGAAAATTGTAGGAGGGGGCCCATAATTTCCTTGTGAGTGGAAGGCGAGTTCTCCACTCCTCCTACACTGGGATTAATTGCAAAGGACTCTGGCAGGAACAGCCATAGCGGTTGCTTTGCAGGCGCGCCACTCCCTTGCTGTCCTCTTCATGCCTGAGTTCTTCTGCTGCATGACTTCAGGTGCAGGCTGTTCTTGGTTCATTTGCAGCACTTCCCAAACACTTTCAACGTGTGCTCAGATTGTAGGAATGACAGCTTCTCTTGGAGTCGGCAATGCCAAGGACTTGAAGGAGACCAAAGAGTACATTTGCAAGATTTGTGCGGCACTCAATGCTGAAGTCATATCCACGGTCCGAGTGCACACAAAGGAGCTGGAGGAAATTGTCTACAAGCCCCAAAAAAGTAAGCATCAGTTCCACCGGCTGTCTTGACGAAAAGAGAAGCTTGCCTTCAGTCTGGTGCATCCGCACTGGAATAGATGCAGAGCCTCCCCTCCATGCACATCTACCTGCCACAGAAATAGGAGGGAATCACCGTGCAGCCAAGACGGTGGCACAGAGTCATCCTGTATTTTGCACTTGTGTTCCAAATGGAGATTTCCTCTGGACATCCCTGTCTGCATAACCTCAGCTGACCGTGTTTTGAGGCAGGGACTGCCCACCTTTCCACCACTCATGGTCCCATTGGAATAGAACCCTGATGCTTGGACCAAAGGCCCACTCCTCTAGCAGACTGTTTTCAGCTGTGACTTGCAGACTCTTCCAGAAGGTCCACAGTGACCCTAGCAATACGTCGCAGGACAGACCCGCCACTCAGTTGCTGGAAGACCACTCATCTGTGGTCTTTAGCAGGCTCATAAACCAAGTTATTAGGTCCTTAATGCAGTTATTATTTCAGAAAGATACAGTGCTTCCAGCAGTGTGCCCACTGGACCCAGGAAGAGGAAAGTGTCAGTGCATTGTCACTGCAAAGGCAGTTGAGATTGAATATCAGTATAGGAGGGTTTTGAAAATTTGTCTCCTGTTCACCAAGGACCACCAATAGTTACTGATCATCAGGGTCAAGTGAAAAATGCGTTGTTCATGATTGCTTCTTTTCTCCTACTTTTTGCAGGAATTAAACTTGTTAGTAAACGTCCCCAGAATCGCTTTATGGACATTGTCGTGCAGATGATGTCTGAAACCGAAGCTCTGGCAAGTAAACTTTACCCTTTAGGTAAGAGCACGGAGCGGGCTTGGTGATGCTGCTATTCTGTGGCATTGCTGTGATGTGCAGGCTCTCACATGCCAGCTCACCCTGCCAATAAGCCATGGTGGTGGGACTGTTGCAGGCGCACTGCTGGTTGCCACTCCCCTTCATTCCCCTTGGTCATTAGCCAGTGGTCTGGGGGGCCTCATGGTTCGGACTGTTCTCCACGCTGCAACCAGTTTTGGTTTGCTGCAGCATTTCTCTGCTTCCCTCCCTTCCCCCATCAGGTCTGTTTTTGAACCTCCAGGATTGAGTAATTCTGTAATTTAAAAAATGAGCTGTGTTCATTTGGGGTTTTTTTAAAGGGTAGTCAGCACTTAAAGCCCCTTGGGGAGATGTTGCAGAGACCTGTAATGTTTAAACCAGAGCTATTTCTGTTAGGCATTCTCCCCAACGATCTTGATAAACAAAGTATATCAAGTACTTGACTTTGCATGTAATAACAGCGGGAAGGATTGCATATGCAGGGTGTTGGAGAAATGAAGAGCTACCAGCTGGAGATTTGATCTTGAACAAGATATTGGACTGTGCAGAAACGGATAGACTGACTTTATCTCTTAAGGAAAAAGAAGATACAGTTTACTACCAAACATGGGACTTTTTCTATCAATGGCTACAGCATCGGAACTCTAATTCGGGTTGAAATACATAGTATTTGTAGAGAAAAATAAGACTTTGTACACAGTATGTTTGAAGTCTTTGGAATAATCATTTGTTTAGTGAGTAGAAAACAATAAAACTTTGAAATAGGAAAACACTTAAAGTCCTTCTGATATGCCACTTGGGCATTTTGTGACAGCCGTCACAACATAAAAAGAAAAGGGAGAAAAACGCTGTGGGGAATCAGAAGCCCTACTCTAGACCAGGGGTTCACAGGGTAGCTTGTTGAGAAAGCTATCCCTAGATGAGTAGTCAGGGTTCAGACAGCACAACAACCCACCATGGCTTGCTGCCCATGGTGGACTGTCCTGTCATGTGAACCAGGTCGAAGTCTTTGTTGAGATACCCACTGCTCTTCCAGTGCCCTGAGCGAGAGTTACCTCTCTGTTCTTTCAGTCTTCGCGCCATCACCATCATTTACACATCTTCTTTCCTTGTTTTTTCTACTCTTTCCATTGACCTTGATTAATTCTTCAGCAAATGCCAGCTTAAATTGAGCAGTAGGAGCCAATCAAGTTATAAGACAAAACTGAGCTTAGGTTTTGCCTGGGGTCTGGTAGAGATGAGTCAGACAACTGAATGTTTCCTTACCTGGATCAGATTTAGGTTGTGGGGATTAAACCCAGAGTACATATATGCAAAGTAGCACAGGCTGTGTCTCTGTGTGTGTGACTCCTGGATGGGAGCTGGTTTGCCCCTTGATTGGCTATGATCTGTATTCATACAGTTTATTTATCAAATATACATTCTGCCATGCTGCCACTAGCAGTGCTCAGGGAGTTTGGCATCTTTCCTGGGCTTTGCGGCAGTTGTGTGCATGCACACACAGGTGTGCATGCAAGACCTATGCATGAAATACAATTTCTAAACAAACTACCTGTAATTCTTCTTACAGTGCAAACAGAATCCCCTGCAAGAATCTCATTCCTGTATGCACTTTTCAGAGATGACTCTCCATCTGTTTTTTCCTTCCCCTATTAGATATGTTGTCCCACATCAAGACTAGGAATTATGGGACTCAGAAATATGAACAGTGGATAGTTGATGTGCAGAAGAAGTGCAGTATGCTGGATCTACCAAACGAGGAAGACGGCAGGTCTCTTTTCATTTACACGGAGCACCTCCGAGTGAGTATCTTCCCCGTGTGCCAAAACCAGCAATTTCTCTTCAGATGTGCTTCCAAAAGGAAAAGAAGGACCCATTTTGCTTCCTCGCTACTCTGAGCTGACATTATACTGGCATTCCATACTTCCAGTGTCTGGTGTGGGATGGTGAGGCTAAGGATCAGCACACAGAACATGGCCAGCATCCCAGGCCTCTCTGGCTGGTGCTTCTGTGGACCAGCTGAACATGTGAGCAGGCCCCCTTCTCCATGGCATCTACAGCCACTTTTTAAAAGGGAATGAGTGACTTGCCTGGCAGACATTTTGTGTGTACTGACCTTCAGAAACCTCTCTTGTGTGTTTTCATTTGGTGCTTGGAGGACACCACCACGATTAGGATGATCTCAGATGGCCATGATCAAACAGAGGGTTCTTCCCTTCTTCCTCATGAGTCATTATTGTTTCCCATTTTCAGAAGGAAGCGCGAGTTCCTCACTGTTGATGCTGTGACTGAAAGTGTACCATAAAAAGCACTTGAAATTTTCTTTATATCCAGAAATACAACGACGCCCTCATTATTAATGAGGATGCACGTACCAAAGATGCACTGGCTTATCTGAAAGAATTCTTTGAGAATGTGCGAAGATGGGGACTTGATGAAACTGAGCAGCAGCTGGCATCAACATTTGATGGTATTTCTTGGAACATTATCCTTATTCAACATGTTATGCTAGAATAGTGCATTATGATTATCCCCCCCAATCAACTGCGCGATGTTGTTTTAATTGCCACAATAAGAAGCTAGCAAAAATTGTGGCCAGTAGCAAAATTAAAGCATGAGTAAGCCAAGAGTAAGCCTGGGTTGGAGAACTGTGGCCCTCTAGATGCTGGTGGACTCCCTTTTCCTATCTGGTCATTGAAACGTGATGATAGGAGTTGTAGTCCAGCAGCATCTGGAGAGTCAGAGTCCCTAAAGTAAGCATTTAACAGCAGCTGTTATTTATGTATTCATTTAAAAATATTGGCGTACTTCCTTCCCAAGGGTCAAATTGGCTAACCAAAAGTGCAATACCATGTCATCGAATTATAATTGAAGAAGAAAATGTAAAGCATGACTACGAAACAGATGCAGACAGCCCAATGGTCACATGACTAATGTATTGTAAAACAAACTTCCTTTTGAAGTCGAGTATAAAATCTATATTCACTTAAACTAGGAATGTGGAATCTCTCAAGCACACACGGAGAATAAAATGTTATTTTCCAGGTTATTTGCCAGAGCTGAATAAAGTTTCTCAAGATGATATTAATCCCAAAATGGATGATGTTACATATATCCTGGAAGAAGAATACCACCTCAACCCTTAGACACGTACCATTCTCTTTGTTAAGACCAGAGCATTGGCAGCTGTAAGAAAACCTCTCCTAATAGCTAAGACAGCACAATTTTCCTTTTAAACAAACTTTTCTACCCTATTTGAATTAAAATGTGAATAAGTAAGATTGGTGTCCTAGCCAATAAGGTTTTCACAATTTGCAAAGATAATATAGAAAATCTGTTCAGTAAAATAATATACAATGTTAACATAACATTTACAATCTAAAACAAAAATATTTTACTCCATAGTTTTAACCAGTAGTGAGACAGGTGGTTTGGGAGGGATAAGTACCTGCCCACCTCTCTCAGTCCAAGGGTTGACTGCCAATCTTTCTGACAGACATTGTGTCTTGAGTGTGTCAAAACTGTTGGATTATTTCAGAATCACCAGAGGTGGCATCTGTTGTGTGCACTGAGGCCTTGTTTCAGGTGGTTCTTTAACAGGCGCTGTATTATGTGCATTTGGTACTTGAAATTGTAAGATGGTGATTAGCTGATGGGTTGACAGAATCACTGCAGATTTTTTGTAGAATATTTGCCAAAGGGCACTTCACGTTTTTCTGTGTGTACATTTGGGGAACGTAGTCCAAACCTCAATTCCACCTCTCTCAGGCAAGATTTGGCTGAAGAAGTGACAGGCCAGTTCTGATAGTAAGCAGGTGAATTACCAGAGATCCCAAAGGAGCAGGCACATAGTGGGAAAAAAGGAAGAAGATTGGAGCCCTCTTGTCACAACATTCTGAGACCAAATTAATTTTACAGGCCTTGAAGAACTGGATAACAGAAACCCCTGAACTTCAATACTTGAAGCCAGATGTGCTGATGGGACGTGGGACTAGAAATCAAGGGGCAGGTAAGGGAACTTAGCACTGTGTTTCAGAAGAGGGGGAGTTAATTATGAACACCACAATACCTGGAACAGTGATGTGGAACTTCTAACTCTGGGACCTGATTTAGCCTGCAGCTTTTTTGCAGCCCCCCCCCCCCCAATTTATATCCTGCCTTTTTCCTACAAAGGGCTCAAGGCAGCTTACATCATCTCTCCTCCTCCATCTTATCCCCACAACAACCCTGGAGGTAGGTTGGGCTGAGAGTCTGTGACTGGCCCAAAGTCACCCAGGTGGCTCCATGGCTAAGCGGGGACTAGAACCCAGATCGCCTGAGTCCCAGTCCCGTGCTCTTAACCACTACACCACACTGGCTCTCTGGCATGTGGAGCATCCTTGGCTTCTTTAAATGCATGAGCTTTTGTCCTGGAGGACCCCAGACTGTTATCTCTGAGCTGAAATTAGAGAAAACAGTGGAGAGGCAGCTGTGGAGGAGCCTCTTCACAGCAATGGCCAAGTCTTGCATCTGTGAAAACCTTCTTGGCTATCTAGAAGTGCCAGGTCACCCTGTTCCCCCAGGGGATGGTAAGGTTTTGGAGGAAGAACCCAGCTTGGCTGGTGCTGGGAGGAACAGCTCCCCCTAACATGGCTGGACGCTTCCTTCGCTCACCTTTCCCCTTACCTGCTGGGGGTGGCCATTGATGTACAAAGCAGGCAGTCCTCCCAGTGAGGGAAGAGGCCCTTTCTCTGTGCTGAGGGGGGCTTGGGAAAATGAGGGGGGCACTGAGGGCAGTGGGTGTGGCCAAGCCTGTGGGCAGCGCTTGGTCCATGCAGGACCTGGTGGGTGCGCTTAAGCCGTCCACCTCACAGTAGTTCTGTTCCGCTGATTGAGCATGCTGCCGGCCAGCAACTTTGGCACAGCTTCCATTGCAAATGGAGCCATTTCTGTCAAGGAAAATATCTAGTGGCATATATATATAAGAGTAAGTGTCCTGGGTCTTATTTTTAAGAGACCCTGTCTCTAGACTTTCTCATTTTGAATGTAAAATGATTGCAGACGTATAGAACATACTAGCTTCGAAGGGATGGGATTTCTCCTTGCTCCCTTCAATGTATGTGCTGCCTGATTCTCTACATCTCTTCTCAGAATAAACCCTCATTAATGGCACTGGGATTTACTCCCAGCTGCAGCTCTGTAGCTGAATTTAGGCTCTCCTTCATCTTTTTAGGGTAGGATTCCAGGTTTATTTGTAGTTAAATATGAGAGAATCCCCAGGAATCCTCTGTTCTGAGGATTGGTTATGACATTAAATAAAACAGAATTATACTTCAGCGGAGTGTTGTTGCACCTGAGTGGGGAAAACGCAGTTTGGAGGAGGCATCAAAAGCTGCAGCAGCTGTGCATGCTTCTGGCAACGGCAATACAAGCTGTGGCTGTGCCCCATTTGGCTGCGGGGTGAGGGAAAGAGGCGGCAGGAAGACTGGACTGTTTGCAAGTCCCAGGAGGCGTGAGCTCAGCTCTCTCTGCCTGAGCAGAGTCTACTTTCTTCTGCATTCATACAGCCCTTGCCAGTATATGAGCAGGGCAGAAATGGAGGTAGGTGGGACCTCAGAGAGGAAGGATGGTTCAGCCAAGGCCAACTGGACAATGCACTGAACATCACCTTTCTCTTTTCCTGAAATTTCCCCTTTTTCTGCAATTTGTTGTTGTTTCCCAGAAAGTACAAGTCTAAGGGGGCTCAGTAAAAGAGAACAGGAAGTGGGAGCAAGGGTGAAAATTGTGCAGATTTGCCGAGTTCCTGCATTGGCAGTAAGGTAGTGAAAGTGTGTTTGTCTGGTTTGTGAAATGCAAGGTCCTGAAAAATGCAACAAATTTGCAGGGAAAATTCGGTGCAAGAATCTTGCTTCTATAGGAAGCATTCCTGCCATCTTCAAGTTGAAAGATTTCTCTCATTCGTTTTCATTTTTACTGCGAAAAGAATTATCCCTTTGCTTAGACTGAGTGTGGTAAGGAGGGCATGTAGAGATATTTGGACAAAAATCTATTTAATGTTTTTCCACTGGAGAATATACCTTTCTTCACTCTAACCAGGTCTCCTTGGGTTTCTTTTTAGGGTTTGCTATCAGAATCTCTGATCTGTGATCGATTATCTGTAATTAAGCCACGCCACTCCTGTTTATGACTCACCGTGGAAGGAGTCATATGTTGGAGCGTGCTTGGCTGAATCCCAAGCTGTGGTTTGCTCCACCTGCCCTCACCTCCCTTTCACGACAGGCCGTGGGTGGTGGATCGTGAGCTCATGGCAAAGAAGCTAGCAAACAAACGTCTGTCAGACAAGCCCACAGTTTGTCCACGCCTGCGCTATATAATATCCAAATGGCATTCCTCGTGCGGTGTCTCTCCAGCTGTCCACCAAACTGTCAAAGAGTCACCCAGAATGCCCTGGGAAATGAGTGAAGGGCAGCATTTCAATTACAGTGTGTTTTACTGGCATGTGCCGATTCCAGCCAGGTTAGCCTTTGTGGGACCTCTTTCTTTGACCCAGTTCAGACACAATTAAAAGACGGCTACATGAAAAGCCTGCCTGATCCTTGGGTGCTTATGCTCCTGCATCCCTTCTCGCAGAGGAGAGATGAACTTTCTGGGTCTGCTTTTAAAGTAACCACAGTTTCTTTGGCGTCTGAACTATGGTTTAGTTAAACTGTGATTTGTGGGCCTCCCTCAAACTGAGCACTGAGTGGCTTCAGTTGAGCAACATTGCACAGTTTCTCTGTATCTTGACTACTTCTATGGGTATTTTACTGTGCGGAGGGAGCAAGGAGCTGTACAATGCCCTGACATCCCAGCACCAAGCCCCTGAAGACCTATTTAATCACCCCTCTGCTTTACATATTTCAACAGGCTTCATCCATGACTTCTAAGCATATATTTGCAACTTTAAGGGCTAGAAACATTCTTGTGGGGTTTTTTTGTTTTGTTTTTAACAGAGTTGCAATCCCCAAAAGCTTAATTCTACCCTGTTTGGTGCTTTTTCTGTGCAGTCCTGTGGCATCTTTGTGGCTGTGGGTAAAGTCTGTGCCTGCGATAATCAATCGCTTTTACTCTGTTGGTAACACAGATTCTTCTCTTTCAACCCTGTTTTAGGCATGACCCTCCCAAATCAAAAAGGTGTCTTGGATTCTTTCAGAGCTGATGGGGAAAACAAGATTCTCATCGCTACTTCTGTTGCCGATGAAGGAATTGACATTGCTCAGTGCAACCTTGTGCTGCTTTATGAGTATACAGGCAATGTAATCAAAATGATACAAGTCAGAGGTATGTTGCAGAAGTCTTCCATGGGAACATGATGAAGGTGTTTAATGGTTGTGGTCGTGCCTTTGCAGCTTAGGCTGAGTATTCACGACCAAATGTGTAGTTCTTCATTTTGTATTAGTTTGCGTAGAGTTGGAAACAGGCATTTTAGAATTCAGTTGCTTCCCTCTGAATGCACAGAGGGTTATGGATTTGAAATGGGCCAGCTGACCTGCTGTTGTTTGTCTGGTTTTAGAACTTGGCTATTTTATTATATTAGATGACATATACAGGTTAATAAAGAAATAACATTATTTATTAAGTGCTCAGAATAGAAACTGACAAAATTAGATCCTTTCAAAGATGGTTTCTGTTTCAATAGTCGTGATCCAAAAAAAAAAAAAAGATGGAGGAAGAAAGATGAAACAAGCAAGGCTTGAAAGCATGATTACAAATCATGAAGCTGTGTAATATTGTACATTTTATGTTATGGACTTGACCCTGACAGATCCCCTGGAATGTATGTTGGGGACAACTGGTTGGTGGTGGGTTGCAAGTTGGATGTCGTTCAGTTTCTGTGTCTACAAAAGAGGTCTTTGTCTGTTTTCCCTAGAAGTTTAAAAGGTCAGGGAAGTCCTGTGGAGTTGGGGAAAATCTGTGGCGGGGAACCATCATCTTATGTTCTGTCAGGGTCCCACCAGTCAGGGCGAAGAGTGGAGTGGGTTCTTTCTTCTTTCCTCACCTCTTTTCCTTTGTTGTGTTTACTTTGGAAGGAAATTAAGTCACCCAGTCCCTAACAGGCTGCAGTTCCTCCTGCTCTCATTCAGTGGGGAACGCTGGGTCAATGAGGGGATTTTGGCTCTGGTGGATCTAAAGCCTACTCATGTGCCTCTGGAGCAGCTCCTTGCAGCCCATTCCAAGGGTGCAAGACTATCGGTGGGGCAGCTACAGTGGCATGAAATCCGCTGTTGTCCAAAGAGGATCTCTGCAGGCGGAATGCCTTCCATCTGTGGAAGAGAAGTTCTCTACGACTTCCAGGACATTCTCCCAGGGACTGTAGGATGGCACCATTAGAGGTCTACTGCAGTCCTTTTTAATTTTGTTGTCACTGTTCTATGTAGAGGTGCACACAATATATACAAATATTTTATTTTGGTTTGCACCCCACCTTTCCCAAAAGAGGTTGCTCAAGGCAGCTTACAGAGCCAATTAAAATCGATTTAAACCATGGATTAAAATGCAGTATAGAGTCTTACACACAGTGAGTGTGCGTGTGTGTAAGAGAGAGAGAGAGTGGATGAGTAAGAAAGACACAGCGAATGACAGAGAATGTAACCATATACAGAATCATATGCATTCATTAATAGGACTGGAGTACGGTGTTGAAATGCAGACTTTGACCATGGCCGTTTCTTTTACTCTAATGTCGCGGTTGCTTTTATGCATCACTGTCCTTTGTATTCCTGCTCCACGAGGGGCATCATCTTCCCCCTACAAAGCAAAGCCGGTGGGAAAGCTGATTGTTGCTTCTCTCTTTCCTAGCTCTATGGCTTGAACCTGTTCTTATGTGCCACCTCCAGGTCGTGGAAGAGCAAAAGACAGCAAGTGTATCCTTGTGACCAGCAAGAAAGAGCAGGAGTGCAATGAGAAGGCTAACGTGTTAAAGGAGAAGATGATGAATAGAGCCATTGAGGAAGTGCAGAGCTGGACGGAGGAGGAATTTGCACAGAAGGTGTTTCCTGGCACCTTTCTATTTTTATCCCATCTGGTCTGTGCTGGGGGATTCTGCAGCTCAGAGCTGGAACGCTTTTCTGAAAGAGGCGAGCAGCAGGCAGGCTAGAAATCTCTGCTTAGCCCTGGCTTGGTTCGCTCAATGGTCCCCAAGCCCCCGTGCTGTCAAAACATTCCCTGTGCTGGGTGCAGCTTAAGGCCATTAAAATGTAACAGCCAGAAGTAGCATGACACCTGAGAAGATGGTTTAGTTTTGTTTGCTTAAAAAAACAATTTTTATACCACTTTTCAGCCCTAACCAAGCACCTTAAAGTGGTTTACCTTGCAGAATGAAATTGCATACAAGAAAAACTTCAAATCAAAAGGAGCAAAATGTACAACTTCAGTCACACACTACAGCAATTAAAAAGCCAGCTCTCACTGCCAGGCTAAGCAATCTCATGGCTGGGGCCAGTTTTACTCCATAAGCAGGGAATTCTAAATGCAGTGGCTGCCACAGCGGAAACCTTGTTCTTTGGGCTGATGTGAGAAAGCCTGTGGGTTAGCTCCCTTCATTGCACAGGAAAATATGGGACCTTGTGCAAGAGTTTGATGTCGTTTCCTAGACTTCACCCTGCCAGTTTGTTCCTGCTTTTCACCCATGGTAGAGCATCTCTCCCTTTGCTACAGTTTTCTGCAACTCAATGTTCTTCAGCTATGTAACTTATAGTACTGCTCCAGAGACCTGTCTTTGCAACTTGTTTCTTCTTCCTATTTTTTTAAAAAGTTCCTTCCATGCTTGGGCTTTCCTTTCTCCAGCTTCTGCAGTTTGTTCTGCTATAACTCAGTTTCATTATGGCTCCTCCAAGAACAAAGACTGGAAAGCATGCAAGCCGAATTATCTCCATGCTTTCTGGAGGGCCACTGAAAGCTAGTTGGACTTGCAACTGCAGCCTTACACTGGATCTTGATTCTGGCAGACAGTTGTAGCGGGGGCAGCCTAGTAAGGCCCAGCCTCCTGGCTCTGGCTGGCAGCTGCCTGCTTGGACTCCTGGGCATGGGGTAACAGCTTGTCCTTGAGGGAAGGGTTGAAGCCAAGGGGGTCAGTGTCCTCAGGCCATGGCACTCTCTTCCAAACTAGTCCAGAGCCCTTCATGACCCACGGCTGGGGGCCAGAAGAAGAGGAGGCTGCCTGTGTGACAGGCCCGCTCCTCGACAAAAAGATCCATGCAGGGGTCTCCTCAGGTCCCCTTCCATGGATTCCCACAAAAGGTAATGGGTGGCCATTTAGAACATTAGTTTCCCTCTCAGTAGCACGGATGAATCGCCTCTCCTCCTTTGTAATATGCAAGTAAGTAGAGTCCAGGGACTTGGTGCTCCCATCATTAACATTTTGCAGATTGTCAAAGCTGCCTTGGATCAGTTAACTAACCGGACATTTTGTAGACAGTTCACCCTGCTGGATACACTCAACCCACAGCCTTCTGATCCTTCTTGCCTGCCTCCACTCAAGATCAAGGAGTACAGCTACGCCTTCTGGCTCTCTCCATGCATCCATGCTTAGCCAGTAGGCCTCCGAGCACTCTTAAAACACAACAAATTCTTCCTTTCCCCCCTTCAGGAATCTTAACACACCTTCTTTATGTTTCTCATAAAGTTTGCATCCCTAATAGCACCTCCGTGACTCCTGCCTGGTTGTCTCTTACGTTCAGTCACAGCTTGTCTCACGGTTCGTGGTTTTATGATCAATGACAAAGAGCCACCTTCAGCCCACCCAGTTCCTCCTTCACATGGGAACATTCATCAGCAGCTCACAGGCCACATTTAGCAGTCCCTGGAGAGGACAGTGCAGCTCAGGTGAAAGGTAAAATAACTTGGATCCAGGTAAACTGGAGACTTGATGAAACAAGCTCAGCTTTTAGGCCTGATGATGCCCTGCCTAGGAGTCATTCCTTGGGCACGCCTACAGTCTCATCCCCTGCCCTGTCTGCTCCTCCCTATTGCCTATGCCTGCCACTGACAGATTCCCAACACAGAGTCTCCAGAGTGGTGTGTCTGCATTTATGGAAACACCATTTGAGCCCCTCAAGACTCCCTATCTCAAAAAGTATAGCTTTTATGAGCCGTTTTATCGACATGAACAGTGTTGGAGCCCTTAGCCCTTTCTGTGCAGGAAGTCTGGGTAGCCTCCCAGGAGGAGACCGTCATCCCCAGACTTCCTCCAACTTCTTCTCCAAATCAGTATCTTGTTTCATGGATCACAAAGGTTCCTTTTGCCTCCTTTCTGCTCTCACCCCTCGGAAAAGGGCTTAAGTAAGTGGAACATCTGCAGAGCAAGCAAAATCTACCTGAAATATTCACAGTCCTTTTACCCAGCTGACTCTCTCTTTTTCCTTTCATTCTACAGCCATGAGTAAGAACATTTCAAGGTCCGAGCTGCTCTTTATTTATTTAGAGATAATGGCACACTCCACCAGGTTCGCAGTCACCTCAGCAGTTCCTTCCATCAATGTCTCATTAAACTTGAGCTAATTCACATTCTTTTGCTGGGCACTGTAAGACAAACCGTTGCAGATGCCTTCTTGGGTAGGAGAATTTCCCAGCAGGCAATTTGTTCTCATTAGACTCAGTACCTAAAAGTTGTCCCACCGACTTTGGCAGTTAGCTTTAGCATATCCAATTGTAGGGGTACCTTCTTCACATGAGTAAGGAAACCAGAACATTGGTACTTACGGAGAAGGTTTCTTCTGGATTGCTGTGCACAATGCACCCTGTAAGCTTTTGATTCCTGAATCTATTGTATTATCCAGCAGGATTGCTTGTCTCTGCATCTTCTGGGTCAGACCTTCACTTTGGGATCTAATTTCATTTTGCTTTATGTATCTGTGTCCCCTAGAAAGTCCTCCCCTCCCCTCCCCTCCCCTTGTGTTTTTCTATTTATACAGCACCCTCTGAACTCTGTTAACTGAGCCATAGTCACAGCCAGAACTGGCACGAGGAACCTGAGACTAGGAGACCCCACAAAGCTTTGTCTCTGCCTCTCCTGGGCAACAGAAGGGGCTAGTCCTTTGGAGGGATGATTTCTGCACACCAGCCCAGAGGGAAGCTTTTCATCTTTGGCAATGAAATACAATAATAATTACTGTTCTGTTCTGCACGTCTAACTGTTTTGCTGGTGGATGTAACAGGACCTTCAATGATGATTTCAACTACAGGCTGACTTACAAGAGAGGAGCTTGCCATTCTGGCACACCTTTGGTATCAGTTTTTTTTTTTTTTCTTCCCTTAGATAAATAGCTTGCAAAAGGAACTAAAGAGAATGCAAGATTCCAAGAAGAAGGAACCTGTGAAAAGGCCACTACCAAGTAACAAAAGGCTGTTGTGCATGAAATGCAAAGCTTATGCTTGTGATACGGAGGACATCCGAGTGATTGAGGTACACTAATCGTGGAGCGTTCTGACTCGGGGAGTGCAAGGAATCCATCTGGGGGTGGGAATCCATCAGATCGTCTGGGCTCGGCTCCAGGTCTGCATTGCAGCACTCCTGAGCCCAAGTTTGTTTGTTCATTTAAAACTTTTGTATACTATCCCATCACAGGCATCTCGGGATGGCTCACAACAACAACAATAAAATAAAAAGTAAAAGTAGCACAGCATCCAATATTAGATGTAAAACCACAGATTAAAACAAATTAGCAATTAAAATAGTGGGAGAATAAAAAGAGTTTCGCCTGGCGCCAAAAGGAAAGCAGTGTTGGCGCCAGGCGAACCTCCCTGGGGAGCATGTTCCACAGTCAGGGCGCCACCATACAGAAGGCCCTTCTCCAGGTAGCCACCCCCCTAATCTCTTTCAGGGAGGGGCCCTGGAGCAGGACCTCTGCCTCAGATCTCAAGGGGCAGGAAGGCACATAGGGAAGAAGGCGCTCCTTCACGTATCCAGGACCCAAGCCATTTAGGGCTTTATAGGTCATCACCAGCACCTTGAATTGGGCCTGGGCTTCAATTTGTAGCCAGTGTAAGCTACAGAGGACCAGCATTATATGTGAATACCTGCTGGTCCCCATTAATATCCTGGCAGCTAATATCCTGAACCAACTGAAGTATCCAGACCATCTTCAAGGGCAGCCCCACATAGAGAGCGTTAGAGTAATCCAACCGGGAAGTTGCCATAGTGTGGGTCTCTGTTGCAAGGCATTGCCCACCCAGGTAAGGGCACAGTTGGTAGACCAACCAAATCCGGAGAAAGGCACTTCTTGCCACCACTGCCACCTGAGCCTGCAGGGACAGGTCTGGATCGAGGAGCACTCCCAAACTGCACACCCTGTCCTTGAGGGGGTGCAGCCCCATCCAGAACAGGGCAGAGTGCACACTGAGTGCACCCAGAATCCATGGGGAGCGCACCAGGAGTTGAGTCTTAGACGCTGTGCAAGCAGTGGTTCTCTTCCGCACTCCATGCAGTTGCCAGTCATGCAACCAGGCTTCACAAGGGTCCTCTCAGCTTGCTTTTCTAGAGGGATGGATTTTGGCAGGGTTTGTCTGAACCCTTGTTCTGACATGCAGTGTTTTGGTGTGGGGCACCCGTCTCTTAAACAGTGGTGTCACTTAGAGTTGAGGGTTAGTACCGGGGTAGCTGTGTGTTTTCTGCTGTGAATTCCATGCCAGTGCAGCTCAGTGTTGTCCTCCAAATTATGCATCCTGTTGCCAGGACCCATCAGGAGAGCAGAGGGAGAAAGCAGGAGATCCCATCAGTCATAGGCAGAGAAATAAACCCCAAACCTGTGTTTTCCCTAGGTAAATGCAGGTATCTGTTTTAACCAGTGATAAAGTTATTGTAATGACTAATTGCTCATCTATATAGTCATACCAGGTGGCAAGATAAATAAAACCTATCGTTTGTTTCTCTGAACTTATCATTAGATGAAAACTGGAAGATCAAATGAGACCGGGCCTACTCAGTTTTTCTTGTCCTGTGTTCACGCAGGATGGATTACGCTGCCAAGGTGCAGGGTGGGTTCAACCTGGCTTGGCTGGGCACGAAACTCCCTTGGCTGGGAGCACCTTTGTGCTGAAAAGGTCCCAGTGGTGTGGTCGGGTGCAAATGACATCAAGTTGGTGCACCATTCAGCATCTTCCTGGCCCAGTATTTTTCCACACTTCAGCTCTAGGGCACCCAGGTTATTTTTTGATATAAACTGAAAAATGTCCAAAGTATTTTAGATTTTTTTTCCAGAAAACCCACATCACTAGGTGTAATGTTGTATTTTACTATATAGAAGTGCATGCTGAAGTTCTACAATCTGAGTGTTAAAACTGGCTTTACTGTGTAAGGAGTAACAATGGCAAACTGGGAGAAGACAGGGTTTGTCCCCCACATACACAAACCAACAAGAGAATGAGTGTGAACCGAGGGTCAGCATTTGAGTTGGTATAAAAGGCTTGTATAGTTTTATGTATGTATTTATTTGTTTTTGACCTTGTCCCATGAACTGGGCCTCAGGTGACAAACAAGCATGTGTGAACCAGGCCTAAATATAGGAATAATGCTGGTTTAACTCCAATGTGTTTGATCTAGGGATCCCACCATACTGTCTTAAATGAGAACTTCAGTGAGCGGTATAAAACAGCACCTCACAGCAAACCAAGGCGCTATGCCCAGTTTGAGAAAAGATCCAAGCTCTACTGCAATGCGGATAAATGCCACCATGACTGGGGAATCATGGTGAAGTATCAGGCATTTGAGGACCTGCCCATTATCAAAATCGAGAGCTTTTTGGTTCAGGATGTTGTCACAGGGAAGCGGTCCTATTTCCGGAAATGGAAAGAAGTTGATTTTGCCATAAAAGAATTTAGCGTGGAAGACATGTCTTAACTGCCATGCAGAACAGTTTGATCTGATGTTTGACGCTGTTCATTCAGGACTAGCACATCCTGCTGTTTTAAGAGTCCTCTGCTGGTTCGCATAGGAAAAAAAGGTAAAAATGATGCCATTTTCCATTTTAGGAGCAGTAAATTCTGAATTTGAGTGACTGCAAGTCCATTATAAAATAGCACTGATATTCATTTGGCTTTTAATACTACTGCAGTTATGTTAGTCACCACTGCCTGATACAATTTGCTTCTGCAAAGCCTTTAAAAACAGCAACAATTTGGCAGTACTCGATGCTTATAAAACTCATGTTCTGTTACTACAACTCATTTTAATTTCTGTGGTTGGGATTGAGATTGTACTGTTCTATAGGACATTCTTTGTATGATCTGATAGCATTAAACATTTTCCTGAAACCTGAAGTTTCATCAGTGCTTTGTGAAACCTGGAAGAATTTTGTTTATTTGTAGGAGATTTTGGTGGGCAGAGAATGACTTGCCCCAGAGCCCCCACTTAGGGTGTAGTCCAGTGGTTTCTCCACATTGCCTGCAGCACAGAGGGAATTTTCAGCATCCAAGCATTGAGATCCTTTGACTTTAGTGTCCTTCTTGTCCCTTGAAGTGTGGTGGAACTGCACAGGTTAACCCCACCCCAAGTTTGCAGCTGGGGCTGTGGAGTTGTGGACCCTGCTTGCTTGCTTCCCCCATTCCTAAATCTGTGCAGCTGAAAATGACCCATCTAGAAACGATGCAAGACGCATGCCTTGTGCAGTGCCCTGGATGTTCTAAACATCTGGGTTTGGGGCCTCAGAGCATCTGCTGTGAGGATGGGAGGATAAACTGGCAGTTGAAGCGGTTCAGTACTCAAGCGGCTAGACCACCTAGCTTGTGTGATCAGATAAAATAAGGAATAAAAGAGAAAGCAAGTTCTGTCTGTCACTGTGGCACAACTTCACTTATCTGTCTGGAGCTGATGGTCAGTAATTATGTCCCTTCCTGGCAGGGGGTTTCTGTTTTCACGCGCTTGATGATTTGATTAAACATCCCCATGTGTCACCAGCCAGTTCACATGACAATGGTTAGGGAACTCACCATGGTGAGTTGTCATCTACAAATTTAGACCATTTCCTTCAGGGTAGCCTATTTTTTTTGGCATCAGGATACCCAGGGGGGATAACTTTATCATGGGTGGTGACAGAGCAGCTGGTAAGCTGCTTGGCAGAAGCCAGAAACGTCCGCTGTTTGTGACTGCACCCTTACCATGAGGTAAGCCCTTCCACCAATGCCCAAACGGGAGTGACCATCACTGTTTTGCCACTGTTTCTGCAAAATAAATATCCAACCCAAGAAAATAGCACAAACATGCTGATAACTTGTTTCAAAGTACTTTAAATAGTAACAATAGATGATGATGGCAGCGGCGGACAGCCAGGGAAGCACAGTAGACAGTAAGTACACTTGTAAAGTTGCTGGAAGCAAGGGCATGCATGTATGTATGTTCTATGTTGCTGGAGACTTGAGGAAGTGTTGAAAAGTGAAGGACTCTGAGAAGTGTGCGTTTAACTCATAAAATCAAGCTTGCATTGCTAAGTACTGTCATTTCCCCCACCTTTTGGTGTCCCTGCTTTTGTGCTTTATCCCTCCCAAACCCCCTGCTGTTTTTCAGTCGGCAGCTCAGCAATGAGGCCTTAGCAACTATGTGCAAACCAGCATGGCCACAGTCTTGCCTTTTAAGTTTCCTTTTGACAACTGAAATACAGAAGTGACCAGGATAGTTCAACCTGAACCCTTCCAAAAGAAAAAAAATAAAATAAAATCCGCAAAACAAAAACAACACCTAGTTACAAACACATTTGTGCAATTATCTGACAATTATCATGTAACAAAAAGTTACATGAAACGGGCAGTTCTGAGACTCTGGGTGGAAAAGCAGAAAAGGGGAATTATGGGTTCTGCTGTAAAGGACACTGGAAAATCAGCAGGATGATGGAAAGATGAGCGATGCTGGGCACGCTGACACGCTCAACGACCCCACGCCACGCAGGTCATTTGCAGGGTGGCCTAGCGTGGCATGCCTGCGACCTGGGTTTCAACACTCTGTCTTTGTACATCAGCTAACTGTAACAAATACATACTGAGGACAATGGCCCATCTCAAATTTGAAATTGCAGCCCTTTCTGTTAGGCTTGCTTCTTGCACGGTGTGATGTATTTTGTGAAATAACTCGGTGTTAGCCATGATGATCTGAGTTGTAGCTGACCTAATTGAATGGAACAGACTGGGAAAGGCCAATTTAGCCTTACCTTTTCTCCATTTCATCTAGACTCTGTTCTGCTCTAGTGATGACTGTAAGATAGCACAATCTTTCTATGTTCCTCTGCTATCACTGGAAGTGCCTTTTCTTAACTCCGTCACTATACAGCCCTACTTTTGCTGTGGACAGTCCAATTTTACCCTGGCTAGAAGTAATCTCATCTTTGCCTAGCCAAGGCTATGCAGCAAAAAATCAACATTGTTAAGAAACAGGGAAGCAGGAATCCAACATGTCATCTTGTTCCTTGGGTAGGTTCCAAGGTTGCTGTTAGTTGCATCCACCACTAAAGAGGGTGCACAATTCCCAAGGGCTTCTTTTGTCAGTGTTTTATCCAATACCGCTGACATACAGGTATCAACCTTGTTTCATTGACATAAAATTGGAAGAGAGGAGTTAAGCTGGGACTAGTGTGCCCTGTTTCAGTGTTATGCCATGGAGAAACACTCAAAACCCTGATCCCTTGCTTTGGCCAGGGAGGGCCGGTGGTGGCCTTGTTTAGCCTTTTCCCCCTTTTAACTCGAATGGAAGGAAATTTATATGATCCCTCTGAGGCTGGCATAGCTCTGAGGCTGAATCAGTAGAGAGAAAGAGGGGGGAGAGAAAGACAGGGAGAAACACACAGGTTCCTACTGAAAGCTCTAGTTCTTCCATGCATACTGGTACAGTGAAGTTTCTGGTGGTGGATCTTCCCAAGCAAAGTTCACCATTCAAGCATTTTAAAAAGGGGCCAAACATTCATTTTGAAAATAGATTTAAATTTTATTATAAATGGTCTTTAAGCTCCTCCATCCCCAATGACCTCTTCCCCCACAATGAAGGTGATGAAAAACAAGGCTGGAGCATAGCAGGGAAGATTAGGAAGAGCCCAATTTACTCATTTCAGCAGTATTAGACTTCAAGGACGGATTCTGATTAACTGTTTTAACAAGAAAGGCGGCAATAGTACTTCAGCATTAATTTCTCAGATATGTAGAAAACACCTGCAATGTCAGTTACTGTAAAAGAAAAAAAATCTTAAAAAGGGTCACACGGTGTCTGGATGTCACAAACTGCAGCACTGCCTTAATCTAAATTTCTCTTTGTTCTGACCCACAATAAAGACATTGTAAGGTACTGTAGGCAATCACATATAACCAGGCTGTTTGGTGGGCGATTGGCCTAGATTTGCGTTCCAATAGCACAAACATACGCTTGAGTAATACAACCCATACATACTTAATTCACTTTAGGATTTAGACACTATATGTAAAGTTTTCCATCATTACTGTGCATTTCTCATGATTACTGTGCATTATCCACATGAAAAAGGCAGGTTTCATAACAACTGGCCACTGGCACAGTCACATTTTGGGACTAGGATGCCATTTTGCGGATCATATAGTTCAAGATGCCACCATTACGGAAATAAGTCAGCTCCACATCTGTGTCAAACCTCATGATGGCTTCGAAGGTCTTCCCTGTATCCAGCTGTTGAGAGGACAAAAAGAGAGACCAAAATGAATAAACGGGCAGGTAGCCTAAGTACCCCAACAACAAAAACTGATTCACAGGCAAATACAATAATTCCAGTCCAGTGGCTTACTGCACTAGGAAACAGCTGTTTTCTTCCTTGCCCTTCCCGTTCTGTGTCCAGCACCAGAAACCTTCCAGTGTTCTCAAACACCAGTTTGTTGTGATATCTGGACTGGGAAACTTGGAGGGCTCCTTCCATGCAAGGTTCCCCCCTTTGGACTTCAGCCCCTCCCACCCCAGGAATGGGCCCCTGGCCATGACGGAGGCTCCCCATCCCACATCCCTCTAACACTCCCTGTGGGATTTCTTACTTTGATCTGAACATTCATTCTGGGCACCAGCTCCTCGGGAATGACGATTGTGTAACGTTCCTGCCCGGTCAGCCTGAGGCTCTCTGCAGTCTCGCCGGGAAGATACTGCAGGGGAATCACGCCCATTCCCACCAGATTACTACGGTGAATGCGCTCGTAGCTCTCGGCCAGGACTGCTTTGATGCCCTGAGAAACACAAAAATGCAGCATTAACAATTGCTTAAGCGCTGGGTGAAAATTCTGTCTTGGAGGTGGTCGACCACTTTAAGCCTGAGGGTCCGTCTTCCTTTTGGAGATGCTCTCAGGGGCCCCATTGCAATGGAGGTCAGGTGGGGCTGAGGCAAAAGGGGCAGGGCAAAAAATGCCAGCATAATTTAGTGTAAAGCTCATACTGCTAGGAATTAATCCCTGGAAAGGGCATTTCAACCATTTCGAAGGGACAGAGGCGAGCTGTACAAAACTTGGGAAACTGCCAAACAATTGGTAATTGCAGGGCAAATGGGTGAAGCCAGAAGTTCATGGCACCAGGGAACTTTGGACAGGCTGGATTTGATCCCTGGGACTAACAGTTCTGCACCCCTGCCCTGCCAGTTCTGAAAAACAGCATACATTGTTTCCTATGCAATTTAAAGACTCTCACAAAATTCAGCAACAACACGGGGCTTAAACTAAATCCTTCACCTAGAAATTATAATTCCAACATACAAAGGCACAATGCTTCCCCATCACATTCCTTTTTCATCAAAAAGGGTCATAAGCAGTGGTACAGGAGTAGAATGCATGCTACAGTCAGATTAAATATAAGTGACTTTTACCTAAACAGAAAGGTAGAGAGGTCAATTGGTACAGGAAGCTGACTTTGGAACTTCCTTTGGTGTGTTTCTATTGTGTTAAACCAAAAACCCATTTCCTACTGCTTAACAAAGCCGCACAGGTTTCTTTCAGGTTACTCAAAGGCAAAATGCCCCCCCCCCCCGGTCTCTTGACACCAACAGAACGTTCCATTCACCATAAAGCTGACATCCGTCAGAGCTCCCATCAGTTTTATTGCGTTGAGCCTCCTGGTTCAGAATAGGAAGCCTGAAGGCAATAGGAAACCTGAAGGCCAACAGGGAGGGAAAGTCCGTGTCTAGCAGGAGGGAAACCAATTCGGCATCAGAGTTTCAGTTCCAGCACCCTAGCCTTGTTTTCCTGCGTCTGCACCAGAAAACCCATCATCCAGCTTCACTCCAGTGGAAATGCGGAAGACACGTGCTATCTCAAGGAGTTCAATGGTGTACAACTATTGCTCCTTTGGACTTCCAGCTGGGCCTGTTGCTTTTAGTGGCTAGCTATGCTTCTTCCCAGAATTGGCTGTCTGCCTATGGCCATGCGCTTGACAGACTGGCATTTATCCATTAGATAAGCCTCTGGCACGATCTCAAGGCTGCTCACGTTGTGAGAGTAGTCAGGATCATCCTATCTAAGCTGGCTGTGATCCCACTGGGATCCAGAAGAGAGGTGGGATTACTATAAGCATAACAATATAAATGAATCCATGAGATACTCTCAGGGTGGGATCTCAACTCCGGCTGATCTAGAAAGGTGCTGTGTATCCAGTCATTACTGGAGTCATATCTGTTGCCATACTTTGATGGGATTTTCAGCAACTGTAGGGACAGAAACCTTTGCTTTCTAGCTTTGCTCTTCCTTGATTGAGTTCTTCCTGCTTAATTTATTTCCTTCATCCATTAGTGTGTTCCTTGGATTATGAATCCTAAAAAGAACCATTGCCTCTGAGCAACACACTCATTCCTTACCCTTAAACATTAGTTACCTATCATCATCATAATTATCATCATCTTCATCTCTCTCTCTCTCTCTCTCTCTCTCTCTCTTACTCTGTGTGTGTGTGTGTGTGTGTGTGTGTGTGAGAGAGAGAGAGAGAGAGAGACAGAGAGAGATTTCCAAATGTTACTAGTTGTCAAGTCTGCCCTTCCTTAAAAATGTTCTGACTGGTGCCTGGAGCTTCTGAAATAGGATGACCACTGCTGATGGATGTTTTGGACATGCATATCTCTGGCAACATCTCAGGAGCTGAACACCACTGGCAAGAGCTATAACGCATCATTCTTCCCTTTGGGAAGGCAGTCTTGTTCCAGGACCCAAGCAATGCTCCTCTCACATCATTTCTTGTCTTCTGGGAGAAGCACAGGACAGCCAGCCAGATGTGCCAGCCATGCCACTCACGTGACGTAAGAAAAACCCTTGGGTTTTCCAAGTCCATATCAAAATGCCATTTTCCAGACAAAGGCACTGGAAGTCCTGAAAAGCATGTGCTAAACTTCAGGGTGATCTCTGCCAGCTGTGGCGCTTTGTGGGGCACCCACTCACCAGCAGAAATGGCCCCTTGGCGGCCCAGTCCCGGGAACTTCCTGAGCCGTACTCCTTGCCAGCCAGCACGATGAGAGGGTGGCCTGCCTGCCGGTACCTCTCCGAAGCATCAAAGACATCAAGCTACAAGCAGATGGTACAAAGCAGGTCAGTTCCCAAAAGCAAGGAAACAACAACTAAAAGATGAGTCTTTTATGGTGAAATTGCACTGCCTCACTTATGGGATTGGATGTGGGGTGGGAAGCGGGCCTAGGCAACGTTGTCTTTTGCTCTAAACCTTCTGTGTTTTCCTGCTGCTGCTTTTGCCTCTTTTTTTTACCAGGAAAAACATCCATTAAGGAGGAGAACAGCTTCACGATGACTTTTGATTGAGAGTGCCGGGTGCTCTCCATCTGGAAGAGCCCCCCCATTGACTTCCTGGCTACTGCAAGGATTGGGCTTAAACATAAGGCACAGTCAAGATAGCATCTTCTCCAGCCCGTGAACATGTTTGCCCAGTTACAATACATTTCCTAGTAAGGTTAGGTAATACCAGCAAAGGCAAACAGACAAAAGTCCTTCATGGAGGCCAGTCTTTCATGTGTTCCTCCTGGTTCCACCCCCAGTAGCCACACTCTAATGACGAGCGCCTGCTTCCACACGTCTGGCCACACGGAAGCATAACTGAATCAAATCTGGGGCCTGCAGAAGTCCTGCTGGGCTCCATGGCAGGAGGAGCTGGATGGGGGCTTGAAATGAGCATTTCCCCCAAGCCGTCTCACTGTGCCCCAGCCAAGCCATGATCGCAGGTGAGCCATGCCTGGCCTGGCCAGGCTTTGCCCCGCCAGCCTTACCTTTTTCTTAATGGTGTTTAGCAGTGAACATGATGGTTTATGACAAGTCTGCAGAGAGGCTGGCTGGAGACAGAAGCCTCAGATACTGCTCCATCTAGGCTCCATCCCGTCCAATCACACAACAGAGCAGGTCAAGACATGGATGTTGGCAGGCAGGGATGGGAAACCTGTCACCCTAACGTTGCCAGGACTAAAGCTGACCTACAATTCCTGTCATCTCTGTCCATTGACCATGCTTGCTGGGCCTGACTGGTTTTTTACCCCTATTTTGGACCTCTAGAAAAAAGGAGGTGCACTCCAATTTCTTGAGGAATTCAGTATGCAAGGCAGGGGTCAGACTTCCTTGATCTGACATGCCCTCCAGATGTGTTGCATCACTACTTCCATCATCCCTGAGCCATGCTGCCTGGGGATAACTGGGGCGGGTGTCCAACACATCTGGATGGCACCAGATTGGAAAAAAGCTAGAGACGCTTATTTATGTATTGGTCATTACATGCTGGCCCTGCCTTCTTTCCTTCAAGGGTCCAAGTAACCTTCGGGGTCCTCTTCTTCCTGTCTTATCCACGCAGCAGCCATGTGAGGCAGGCTTTCCTGAGAGCAGAGACTGGCCCAAATTTGCCCTGTGAGCAACACTACCTAAATGGGTGCCGGTTCAGTTCTTCAGCCACGACACCACACTGGCTCTCCTTTTCAATTGCTGGGAATTGCAACAAGTCAGAAGATGCCTACATAAACGCTAAAATTTACATCTGTGATAGTATTAAAATGAACTGACACCTGTTCATGCCTAAATAGCCACAGTGGTTATAGCATTTCAAAGTCAATATCTGACTTTCTGGCCCAGCTGACGAAGCATGCTCGAAAGTCCTGGCTGAAAGGATACCGAAGTCCAGCAGAGCCAGGATGGACACTCACGGTTTCATTAGATGGGAAGTGGATTGTTTGCGGGGCCTGCTTCTTGAGAAATTTGTTCAGCAGCCGTATGTTTGCGAATGTTCCCCTTGCCATGACAGCATCGTTGCCCCGGCGTGAGCCATACGAGTTGAATTCGCGAGGAGTTAGACTACCAAACCAAAAAAAGAAGTCAACACTGAGTTTTTACCTCAGATGCATTTTACTTTACTTGAAGGAAGGGCGCTTTCAATTTAGATGCTTCACCACAAGGCCTCATTTTTCTCCAGTTCTCATTTCTTCAACAGAAAGTCAAGCCAACCACATGGCCATGGGGCCATGTCGGTTGCAAACAACGGGAGCCGCAGTCCAATAAATCTGGACAGCAGGAGGTTGGAAGAGCTGGCTGAGATTTCTTCATATGAAAGGGAGAAAAAAAAGGCATAATCATGGTGGTCCAGTGAGCAGCAGGGGGAAGAATCCACAATCAGCAGTCATGGACCACCTTTCATTAGGCCCAGTTAAAAGATTCCAAAGGGTAAAGAAGCTTCCGCGACCCTCCCAGAAAATTTCGTCAAGCTACATGATGATGTTCAGGGGGAAAAAAAATCAAGGAAAAACCCCCATCAGAGCAAAATAGAAACCTCACCACCATATTGGTGATGCCTGCCGGTGTGGAGGCACGCAGTCCCCTGGGGCCCCTTCATACAGGCTGGATGCTGGCAGCAGTGGAGGCTCCCAACACCACTGGTCCCCTCCTGAAGCTCAGATCGCTGGCAAGGCCTTTGCTTTCCTCACAGGATGAGCGAAAGGGTAGTCAGCTGGGAGCTCCGGGGCTGGGAGAGCCCACTGGGGGAACTCAGCAGGTTCCTGAAAGTGGCAGCGGGGTATGCCATGGGCCTTGCTTGTGATTGCCTTCCTGGATCGCCTTCCTGGCTCAGGAGCTCCTGAAAGCCCTGGCTGAGTGCGCAGCCAGCTCTGCATGGGGCAGTCAAGGGATGAGCAGTACCTGTTCAGCTGGAACCCGCTTGGAACCCAAGCTGAGACCGGAGATAAGAAGGTGATCCCCCTCCCACTGTTGTGCTTTGTTGACGCCCCTGTGATCAAGCATGTGTATCTGCAGGGAGAACACTTTGATGATGGCCTGGGCCCAGGAACAGCCGTCTATGGGTGGAAGAGCTCTACTCATGGAAGGCGCTTCTGACTGCAGTTGTCCCCATTTAGCAAGGTCCTTTGTGCAACGTTTTAAGGGGGACGAAAGGGATAGGAAGAATGGAGATAGGAAGTCAACTTTGGAGGATGGGATCGGAAGTCAGTTTCTGCCAGCCCATGTGCACAGGAGTAAATCTGGTTCTAACACAGGATAGGCAATATCATAGTCTTATGTGCATGCCACACATTTTAATTTTACACAAAAGACAATAAGTGTGGTTTGGAGCAGACAACCTCAATATCCAAAAGGGTTACCCACACACAAAGACATATTTTGACTCACCCTCTGCTGGTTAAGTAACGGGCAGCAGGGCTGTTTCTTGCTATATTCCCAGCAGGAGATATATGGTCGGTAGTCACTGAATCACCCAAGTTGAGCAGGACATAGGCACCAACTATTGACTTAGGGGGCTGAAGCTCCAAAGTCTGAAAGGACATTGCATCCATAAGTGTCTTTTGAATAGCATTTGTTGTGCAAACAGATGAAAAGCTGGACGTGGATGGAGACACGTGTGCAAATGTGTTTTCCCAAACTACAAAGAAAAACTCCCTGACCTGCCCAACAAAGCAAATCTAGAAAGTGATAGATTCTTTCTTTCCTTTTGTTGGGCTGCCCATGGTAAAATCTTTCACAACCGGCAGTGCTCCAAAATTAATCACTAGAATGCTTCCTGTTCTATATTTTCAAGTCAGATATAATTCTAGTGATTTCAGCACTTTGAAAGGAAATTGGGAGCATGCCATGGGCTCATTCCCTTCTCCCTTCACTCACGAATCTTCCCTTCTGTCTTTACTGGCAAATGTCAACAGTGGTGCAGTCAACCCTACATGGCTGCTGTCTTTAGATTACAATAGCCCAGGCTCAGGGGCCAAATCCAACTGTCCTGGAATCCCTGTCTGGATTCCCCAGAGGACCGTGCCCCTATCTCCCACCTGGCACCCTTCCCTCCAATCTCCAGTTCTTTGCTGACTTCCCGGTTCCCCATTCCCATTCTGAAAGGTTGAAATGCCTCTCCTACAGCTTGATTTCTGGCAGTAAAAACTTCACGCTACAACGCGCAAGCACTTTGGGGGGATTTGGCTCTACCCCTTTTGCCTTTGGACCTGCCTCCTCTGTATATGGCCCGACCCACTATTGGACTGCAGTCCTCAAGAGCTCCTCTGAAATGGAATGTATGTATGTATTTGTTTTCCGATTTATATCCTGCCTTTTTCCTACAAAGGGCTCAAGGCAGCTTACATCATTGGCCTCCTCCATCTTATCCCCACAACAACAACCCCGTGAGGTGGGTTGGGCTGAGAGTCTGTGACTGGCCCAAAGTCACCCAGTTGGCTCCATGGCCGAATGGGAACTAGAACCCAGTCCCACACTCTTAACCACTACACCACACTGCACATTTAACCACTACACCACACTACACATTCAGTCCTGAAAGAGGTCAGACACGCCTGCTATCCTCCGGATCAGGCTTCTGCAAAACCGAGTACAGTAAACACACAGGTGTGTGTGGGGCTGCCCCCCCCCCCCCCCCCAGCATCTCCATTGCCCTCCAAGCATGGAAGGTGACTTTCCACTGAGACTCTCCACATGATTTCCCAGGATTCCAAATCACAGGAGGGACCTCTGGTATGGAAGAGAGAGTGACCTTCAGAAAGTTGCACCTCTTTGTGCAGAGGATGACACATGGGGAGAATGGGGAGCAGGGTTAGTGCAGTCCCCCTGCTCCTTGTGCATTTAGTTTAATAATGCCTGAACAGGGGTAATGTGAAGGTTGCGAATGCATTACTCTACTTGAAAATGGTCTTATGTAGAACATATTACTGCTAATTCAGATCTTTAAACCAATGCAGCTGAAGAAATGGCACTGAAGTCTTCCATTCTCCCCTCCATCAACCCTCACTGCTCCTCTTTAACAAATGTCCCCCCAGATTCTGTTTCATAGCACCTTTAGGGCTGACAAGCCAAGAAAAAGAGGTATTGGCAAGCCAGTGAAAATGTTTATTAGAGACAGACTGTGAGATGGTCAATTTTAGTTTCTTAATTTTTCCAATATTAATTTCATCTCATTCCTAACCTGGAGATTTTTTTGAGTTGTAAATATGATTCTTGTTTCACCCTTTAAGCAAAAAATTCACTTAAAAATAAAAAAATACTTTAGTATGCATTTATCCTAATATATAGGCATTTTTCTATGCACTTTGAGCAAAATGCACATTCTTGAAAGCCATTTCCCCAACAGAATCTTTTCAGAATATTATTTTTTTCTAATGCACACATTTTATGTGAACTTTCCCATAATTTATGCATTTTTGATTGCAAACTCCACTGAGAAATTTGAAGAAGGGATTTCAAAGAATAGCTGTGTTTTGGTTCACATAATGATCCAATAATGCCAATTTAGGTAATGATGCATTCCATGAAAACTGAACTAATTTCTTCCCCATCTCTAGTGCTACCAGGAGGAAGTAAAGAAAACACTTACCAGATTTTCAAAAAATGGTGGAGATTTTATATATGTAGACTTAGGATTCCAAGCATAGAGCTTGTCTGATGGGACATGTAGATCATTCCAAGATTTGTTTACTGTCTAAGGGGAAAAAGAGAGACAGAAATAGGACAGAGACATTTTTAAAATTAGAGCTCTTGATGAAAAGAGGCCAGTGCAGGCCCTTCTTTACACAATGGCCAAACTGACGCACTGAGGTGCTGTCTGCAGGGAGCAAGGCTGTGAGAAGCACCAAATCCCATCATGTGCTCTGTGTATCGGAGGAGACACCACCAATGCATCTCCCTTTCCAGGTGTGCTGTGTCAGGGAAAACCTATCCACCAAGTAAATGCCTTGATTTACAAACAGAAACTTTTCTCCTGCCCAACAGTCCCTCAAACTATTCCTGGAGACATGGTTGTGTGGAGAATCACCAGCAGCTGCATTCTGTTCCCGATGGGAGAAGATGGTACAAACCGAGGGGTGAAAGATGGCTTGCTCAAATGAAGTGGGTACAGCACAAGCCAAAGAATGTGACGTTCATGTATCACTGAGGTCACTGTTATAGTAACACTGGAGTAACGCAGTATGAACTCAATCAGCACTGGGTGCATTGCACTCGTAAAATAAAATCCAGGAACTGGAAAATCCAAATTCCTTATCAAGGAAAGTTGATTTATCTGATCTGCAGAAAAGAGGCACATTTGCACAACCTTATTCTGCATGATTCTGCACATCTTGCTAATTTACATAATTTCTATTGACGTTGCTAATTGCAGAGCCTTGCTACTAGAAATCTTGTTTGGCCATCCCTCTTGACATTCAACAAGCATTATCTATATATTTCCGAAGAAGTTTCACAACAGTAAGAGCTAGAAATTATCCTTTAAAGCCCACCACCACCAACAAAAAGAATCAAACAGCACTACATTTTGCTCCCATTACAGGGTTCCGTGATTTTTTACGCTGTCACACAAGAGGGAGACACACAGCCCTGGAAACCGGACGTGCAGCTGGAACACTTCACTAACAGCAAAACAAATTAGCAACACAGAGTATAGTATTTGAGAGTATAATACATCAGCACAGTTTGGGTCAAGTCAGAATGGAAGAACAGAGAAATGGACTTAAAACATGCACTGAGGAGACTATATTTAAAAGCCGCCAAGAGTGTAAGTGCTCCAAATCAGGGACAGGGAAGGCAGTGCCTGCAAGCTCCAATGCATACCAGGGACACCTTTCTGGCTAACTGCCAAGCTGCTCTCTCCCACCTGCTTTTAATTCTTATTTTTTAAATAACAAGCTTTCGTACTGGCAGCTGGGATCACCAGCAGTGATTCACTTTAGTGGTTCTCATCTTCTTTGCCTGGGAGAGCCTTTGAGCCAAATGAAGGGCGCAGAAATATTCTGGGAAAATCAAGATGGCAGGTGGCTGTGGCCAATGCCGTCTTCAGCATGCCCATTTTGGAGTGGTGCCCGAGACAGTTTCTCGACTTGACAAAGGTGCCCGTAGGCCCAAAAAGGTTGTCTGCCCTTGCTCTTAGTTTTCTTACAAAGCATTACCTCTATTTTCTGGTACACCTCTTTAAACATCCCTGGAATGACATATTGGCGCTCGACAACCTGGATCTCATCTCTCAGGGGCCAAATGTCTTTCAGAAAGATCTCCTTCCCTTGTGAGTTTACACCTGCAATATATCAAGTATACAGGCTTTATGCCGTGAATGAACAATGCTTGAAAAGGGCATATGAACAAGGAACACACCCACACTATAACAGCTGCACTTAAAACTCACGTGTACTTGGTGTATAGCACAGGCGGGGAGCCTAAATGGCATTCTAGATATTGTAGAACTTCAACCTCCATCATCCCTGGCCACTGGCCTTGTTGGCTGGGGTTGATGGGAGATGGATTCCAACAAAATCTGGAGGGCCACAGGGCTCCCTAAGCCTGGCCTTGAGGGAGACCCAGAGGATTATGGGTCTGAGCTTCTCTGTCACACGCACACACCCCTGGATTCCGATTTATGTAAAATCAGCGGCTTCAGGAAGGGAAAGGGGCTTCCAAAGTGCCTTACCTAGAGGTTCCTTCTCAAAATCAATCCGGACGGTGCCAGCAATGGCATAGGCTATCACCAACGGTGGGGAGGCCAGATAATTGGCACGGGTGTTTGGATGGACTCGGCCCTCAAAGTTCCTGTTCCCAGAGAGCACGCCCACAGCTATGAGATCTCCCTGTGCAAGGGGGAGGACACAGGAGGCAAATACTTTCACACTGCACACCCTTGGACAACCAGGTCAAAGGCAGGAGGAGCATCCCCAAGGCTCATCGGCAGTTGCTTTCCCTTTAGAAAGCCAACAATGTTCCTTGCAAATTGCAGTATTCACTCCCCTTCCTGCACTGGCACCGAAGCACAAAAGTCAGGGCCACGCAGCTCCTTTAAGCTCAAGATGCTCCTTTCACAGCACTTCCAACCTGCTTTGAACAGTAGATGGACCATTACTGCTACTACTGCATTGCATTACATTGCTATCCTGCCTTTCCTCCAAGGAGCCCGAGGTGGCTTAGAGAATGCTCCCACCCTCCATTTTATCCTCATGGCGGCCCTGTGAGATAGGCTAGCCTGAGAGTCTGTGACTGACCAGAAACCGATCAGCAAGCTCCAGTCCCAAGAGGGACTAGAACCTGGCCTCCTGAGCCCCAGTCTCAATCCTCTCACCACGACATGATGAGAACAGCTCCTTTAAGACAGGTCTACTCAGCTCCTGGCCCAGAAAGTGATTCACCTAGCAAGGTGCTGTCACCTCCCAGATGTTTGGCCATCTCGCTGCTGTGGCAGTCCGGATGGGCAGCAGAACCGGGACCTTCGTGGTGAGCCACCATGTGCGGCAGTTGGGCTGTATGTGGCTCAGTGGCCCAGCAATCCTCTGGTTTCCCTGAATTTTCTCCTATTCCAAAAGGATGACATGCTTGTCCTAAGGGTTGTTGTCAGAAGAGGTGGATCCGGTAAAAGCGAATAGATCCTGGTATATTTGCTATTTGGTCTCACCCCTTCCGTCTACAGCCCTGCCTGCCACCAGAATTCATTCCCTAACAGGTTCTCCAGAATTCAGTTTGGCTCTTGGGCCTAAAGTTCTGCAGTCCTGCTTTGCACCCCTTGCTTAAAATAGGCACGAGTGCTTGACTGCCACACTGTAAATGCAGAGCCCTTTAACCACGAGAGGCGACAACAATTCCTGAGTCAGTTTCAATGACTCTTTCTGTGGAATAGCCATAGCAAGGTTTCCCAGGATATTGGGCAACTGGACAACTGGTTCCACACCACGAAAGAGTTAATTAATCAAGAGTGCTCTGGCTTCCGGTCTGGTGGAGCAGGAAAGATTTGCAATAGATAATATAAACCCACCACTGCCATTCTGTAGACTTCTTAAAGGGGGGGGGGGGAATCAGCCATCCCCCAAAATGATTTTGGCCCCCAGCCATTGGCCATGTTGGTTGGACCTGAGGGAAAAGCCTCAGCTTCCCCTGCCCTGGTATAAATTCTGTGGTCACAATCCTGCCCTAGTGTTGGGCTCAAGGCGTTTTAATCCAGCATTACGCTGCACTTGACAGATGCCATGGCAGAACAAGGGCCCAGAGACTCGACTGAGCAGCGTACCTCCGTAATGGCTTCAACGACAGGCTCTGGAAGAGGTCCACTGTTACCAATGCAAGTCATACACCCGTAACCTACCACATCAAACCTGTGGAGAGTATGGGAGAACCACACCATCAGAGAATTCCTATGAGTTAAACAAAGAACGGCAAAGTATATGGTTTTCCAAGCTGAAAAGGACCTTGTCACAATGGTCCACCATGCAGTCCCATCCTTCAGACTGGATGTGTGAAAGCTGAGAGCGAAGCGGGTGGGCCCGCTTGTGCACTCGCTACACGCTTCAAGCCCTCGCCCATCGGGCTGAACAGAACTAGGCAGCCATTACTTTATAGCATGGCTCGTCATTGGGTTGGGGGGCACACTGGGAATTTTGAAAGGGTCATGGGCACTCTCACAAAATGGCTGCCATGAAGTGGGTCTTGCCCATCCCTAAAATGATTGCCACAGCACTATGGTCAGTCATGAAACACTTGCTTCTCAGGAGGTAAACTGGTGGGACTCAAAGAAAAGTAACTTGCCCAGGAACCTAAGCACAAGGCAGAAAGTGGGTTCTAACATAAAATCACTTGTCTTATGAATGCAAAGATGGTGCTGGTGGCAGGCCTCAATTTGCACCATGAAGGTTCCTTAGAGAACCTTCTAGATTTTTAAAAAAATCTTAAGAAATACAGTGAAAATCAGGAGGGACTGGGAGTCTGTGGGTGGCCAGAGAAGTTCACATGGGAATAATGGCGTCCACAGGCCTCACTTTAGAGACCCTGACTTTGCAGCACATGCCAGATGTAGGGCACCTCAGGCCAAATCTCACCCACCTGGATTCCCCCACATAAAATATGCCGATATTTTTGGCCCTGGCTCCTTTGCGTTTGGCCCTGCCCACCAACTGTTCTTCCTGAAGCGGATTTTAGCCCTTCGGCTACAAGATGCTCAACCCTCCTGCATCCCGATTTTCAATTGTTTTTCCTCCTCGATCATTTTAGTTGTGATTTTGCTTATTTTCTAGTAATTGCCAGAACAAATAATTACAATTAAGAATTTAAAATATAGACATGACATAAATAGGATCAAATGATATAAAAAAGGACTGCTTTCAACATAAACTTTCTCAACTAAGGAACAGTCTTTGATGTTAAAGTACAACTGGCAGGGTCTCCATTGAGACAAAATGACATGAGGCGTGATAAGACATGACAAAACAAAACAAACGAAGTGAAAACAGCCTCTTACCCAAGCTGAGCAAGGTAAGGCATAACTCCACTCTCTCTCAGATAATATGTGACTACTCCACTCCCTGGAGACAGGCTAGTTTTAATGTACGGCTTCACAGTCAGGCCGGCTTCCACAGCCTTCTTCGCCAGCAAGCCTGAAAAGAATATCCACAGCCAGGCACGTCAATAAACATAAGAAGGGACCTTATCCCAAATCTGGGTGGGTTGTACCCCCAGGCCAGTGCTGTCGTCTCTCATGGACAGTGGCCAGTGGTGTCATGGCAAATTTTTGCTCATCCTGGCAGTTCCCACAGCCAATCTCCGAAGCTTGGAGTACAGAGCTTCAGGCAGATGTATACAGAATCCAGTTTAAGCAATGTTCACTTTCTCCCTTTCAATAGGAGATTAAGAAAAAGAGCTCATGGGCAGTGCCTAATAGGGCACTTGGAGGCCATTGTTCTCCAAGATAAACATGCAATCGACTAATTCCACCCTCTACCCCAGGATCCCTTGTTGCATCAACTTAATGGTAGATAAGCAATTGACTAAAAATATTTACTAATTTCACACATCCTTGCTGCATAGACCCAAAACTGCAATAGAATACAAGTCAGCAATGCCCCACTTCTTCGCGGCATTCCTGATTGACACTTTCCAAACTCAACTCCAAAATAAGATTCTGTAGTTAATGAGGCACAGAATGACTAGACACACTTACCAGCTCCTAGCATAACAGAAGGATTACTTGTGTTGGTACAGCTGGTAATGGCAGCAATTACAACTGACCCGTGCTTAAGTTCAAACTCCTGATCATTGTAAGCAAATTTCACAGAGTCGCCTTGGCGTTCAGGGGCAATTTGGAAACCTTTAAACCCTTGCTATAAGAAAGAGCAAACAAGGAAAAAGAGATGTGTCTGAATTATAGTAAGGAATGCTCACCAAAGAAAAGGCAAAGAGATCAAAAGCTAGCTCTGTGTCAGTCACACTAGTTAGCAAAAGATACCATAGGGAGATTTATTTTGCAAGAAGAATAAGAACATGTTCCAGAGTGGAGACTTCTTGAGCAGCATTGTAGTCAATCAGCCACATCCCCTTCCAGGATACTCCATTATGTTATATTCTACTTCTCCCCTGTTTTCTATATTTTCCTCCCAGCTAGCACTCCATGCCTACGGGGCATAATCAGTTCTCAGAAACAAAAACAGCTGGAGGTTTCTTGCTGAGGTTTCTCAAGTGGAAGTACTTGGGGAATACTAGCCTGAGCATACAGATATTTTTGGACTCTTGAAAGCATGTCTGGAACAAGATGAACTTTTTAAAAAAGAAAAAAAAAGTGAAGAGAGAAAAATGGATGCTAGGTGCCAAAGGAAAAGGCATTTACCTTGGCTCCCAGGGAAGTCTCAAAATCCTTCTTCATGTTGGAAACCATGACCTTGTCCTGGGGTCTCTTGGGGCCGCTGCAGCACGGCACAACAGCTTTCAGGTCCAGCTCTACAATCTTTTAAAACGAGAGAGGGAGAGAGGTGATCGTCTTGGAAATAAAACAATAGGGGCTTATGTGGCTACAAAGAATTTTATTCTTCCCCACCACATACTTCAACAGAATGAACTTTATCAAAAGAAAATCGGCATCTGCTTTCTGCTTGAATCAAATCATCAGTCCCTCTAGCTTGGCATTTCCTTCTCTAACCTGGCACCTTCAAATGTGTGGGATCTCAACTTCCATCATCCTCAACATTGTTCATGCTGACTGGGGCTAATAGGGGTAGCTCAACACATCATGTGATCTTCTGTGAGCAGTTGCTTGGCCAGTATGTGAACAGAATGCTAGAATAAATTTGGACAGCACTGGGTTGAGGACCAACACAAGGAAGAAACCATCATGAACAACCCATAGCTTATAACCCAGCAATGAAGCCTGGGTTCTCTTCTTGGCTTGTTAGTGTGGCTGGGTTCAAATAACACAATGACCCACATTTTAGTAATAACTCACACTCAAGCCTTAAGTGTGGGTTATGAATTTGACTGAATATAGCCAAAGCTAGGCTAGAAGGACCAATGTGTCTCACAGTCTTTTGAAGAATTTGCATTGGGAATGAGATACTAACTCATCCAACCATAAGACAAAGCAACAAATGCTGTTTCCTCCATCCCTGCAGTCAATGTGCAGAATAAAGAAGCCCAGCAAAGTTATTGTGGCATCTGAGATAGAAAATCCCATGGGCGCCTCTCCCCATTTGCAGGAACTACAAATAAAACAGTAAGTTAAATCTCTGAGGAATTGATGTCTTTTCAGGTCACCCACACACTCATTTCTGAAAATGCTATCCCATTCCAAACACAACAGCCATTTAAACCCTAATGCTTATTGTGGGCGGTTCCATTCTCTTCTCCTTGCAACAGTTCCATGGTTGGCTTTGCCCAGCCCCCCTCAGCCCTCCTAGCATGCTAGACAACATCAGCCCAGGCCACATGGTCAGCGCTCAAGGATGCTAGGAGTTGCCTACTCTGGAATGGTAAATCTCCACAGTTTTGACACCGATTACTTTCACAAGAATCAAAGGTAGCAGGTGGGAAGTCTCTAAAGGCCTGAGTTTTCTTTTGCAGGAGGTACAAAAATATACCTACTTGAGTAAAATCTGGATCCTGAGAAGAGTTACTGAAGTCTCTGAACATTCCTACAGCCTCAAGGTATTTTCTTATATGCTTTATCTTCTCTGGATCACGGCCTACAGCAGACAGAAATAACCACTCAATCAAGCTGCAAGGTTTATTTTATGGAGTAGAATGTTTAGCATACCTTGTAGGATATTAAAAGAAGATCTCAGCAACTGAGCCATGCCCAGAATGACACCGGCTAGTAAATATCAAAAAACATAAGTGAATAACCTATGACCTTCCTACTACAAGATTCTTGAAATGCCTAAACCAGGGGTGTCCAACCTTTTGGCTTCTCTGGGCTGCACATTAAATACACAAACACTAACGAAAGCTGATGAGCAAAAAAGGGAGGTCTGTGCATAATTTTTGTGATATCTGCCATCACAGATAAGCAAAAAAGTCCTCACATATCTAAGTAATTAAATGTCATTTTAATTTTTTTATTATAAAAGTAAAAAAAGAGGGCAACATAAAACTAGTGGGATATTGGACATTGTATTTGAGAAACTAATGGATCAATATCTGGTTCAATGGAAGTAGTTGCAATTCTCAGTGAATTCTCAAGGTGCTCATCAGATATTTTGGTTCTAATTTTACTCTTAGTGTGCTTCATTCTTGAAAATAGTTGCTCACAAATGTAGGTGCTGCCAAAAAGCAAAGACACGAATAAGGTATGATTGTGAAGCAAGGCATATTTGTCTCTGGGATGAGAGGACCTATACAACTCTGTGATCAAATTTTTCTTTAAGTTCATTTTCCATTTCTTTGAATGTCAGATTGCAACTCCATTTGAAAATTGGCAGGTAACATATATATGTCGACTGAAAATGGAGTTGCAAATATACCAAAATAGTTATTATTTTCCCAGAAAACTTGAAATCAGTTTTCAAATTCTTGTATCAAATCAAAAAGCAAGGTTGAGTATTTTCCACTGTTCACAGGCTTGTGTTTAGCCAACGTGTCAACATGTATAAAATTGTTTGCAAAGGTAGGTTGAAAGATTATTGATAATAGCTGCGCTTCACTCACCAAATCACCATGAGCACATGTAACATCTGATGGTGTCAATTTGACTGCCTGTGCTTTGAAGATAACACTCTGGAAGTTGCACACAGCCGTAAAACTGAAGCCATGCAAGTGCACAAATGGCGAAAGCATACCTACGTTTATTTTATGTGACAGTGCGACACAATATTGTCGTCTACAAAGCAGGCCCTCAAGAACTGTGTGACTGAGTTACAAAAAAAAAAAAAATCGCCAGAAAATCTCATATTTAAGCAAGTTCACGAGTTTGCACTGGGCCACATTCATAGCCATCCTGGGCCGCATGCAGCCCACGAGCTGTGGCTTGGACACCCCTGGTCTAAACTTTTAGCTTGGTGGTTGCAACACCGTATTCCTGAATCTTTACACTTGTCCTCAAGAAACATATTGATACAGCTCAGGTTTCATGGACAGAAGTTCTGGATTGCATCTTTTGAAGCAGAGCTATGACTGGTCTTCCCGCCACTCACCTGTTTGAACCAGATACTTGATACTAACTTCATCCACTGGAAAGAAAGCTGCAGTTGCTCCGTATTCTGGGCACATGTTGGCAATGGTGGCTCGATCAGCAATGGACAACTGAGCAACACCAGGTCCAAAGAACTCTACAAATTTACCCACGACCCCCACCTGGCGTAGATGCTACAACAGATGAAAAATAGCAGTCAGTACGATTTCACGTGGTCTGATTATATGGGATGTCAAAAGAGGTCAAACACAGACATGCCTGAACTGTGATCCCTGATTCCAATGACAATCTGAGTTTTCCACTTAAACACAGTCACACTTGCAGTCTGATCTGAACTCTGGTTAACTGGAAGTAAATCTCATTGACGCCAATGTGGCTTCCTGGTGGGGCACTCCTAGCCTTGTATCCCTACTTTGCCTTGTGTGCGCTACGTACCTTCCCACGTTTGTAGCACCACGGACTGAGTTGAATTTCAATTCACAAGAACCAAGAAAGTCAGAACTGCCTTGTGGTCCTTATACATATTTTGCTGCTGGAGTAGAGCTTGCTTGATGCAGCTGTATTCAATGACTTTTAAACATGCTGACTGTCTCTCAGAAAATGATTACATATTTGCAATACTGTAGATTATTTCTGTAGCTGGAAATCCTTTGCTGTAATCCTATGCTAGAAAGACTGAAGGAGGTCTGTCTCATTTGGTTTTGATCTGCAGGGAAGATATTTATTTTGGCTTTATAATAGATTCATTTTTGGTTTTGATGTTTTGTTTCTTTTGCTTATAGTTTCTGCAGGCTTCTGGCTACAAAGCAATGAAATGCAGATGTGTTTGAAATACTTTTTGTTTTCTTCTTTTGTATAAGCACACAGAACAACAGCTTTTGCCTTGCAAGGTATTGAAACATCCACAACTATTTTAAAGAGTTATTTATTCACCATATTCATAAGCCCCTTTTATGGCAGGTTCACAGTAATGTCCCTTCCAACCTTGCCCTTTCATAGCCTTTAAACACAGGCTGTAAGGGGTCAGGATCTTTCTGTAATTCAAGCACTGGTTATAAGTGAGGGAAAATGATACTTCATTTTCTAGAACCACTCAAATGTTCAAAGTGCTCTGTACACCTTATCTCAAGAATCCCTACAAACAGCCCTATAAAGTAGACCAGTACCATTAACCCAATAGTGCAGATTGAGGGTACACTGAAGCTGGAAATAGTGGTATCCACCTGCCATCAGAAAGCCACTGTTGATGGCAGATCTCTCTCTCCCCTACAGCACCCCAAATTTGCTCCAGTGGGTTGGGGGACCCTTTGGATCAGCTGTGGAGGTTGCACAAAGAGCAGGCTACGCGGGGGAGAAAAGCATGCACACTTAGGCACTGATGGATTTAAGCCACACCCAGAATAGTGGCCAGGCAGTGAATTTGTGGAAGAGGTGAGGCGAGATGACTTCACAGCACCCACAGACATGCTCTGTGATGCAGGGACATTTTCCCTCTGCCCTCATTTATTTATTTTCCCTTTGCCCTCATTTATTAGGAGGCAAATCTCTGGAATTAATGTGGAAGACGTCCTTAACCATCGCACAACGATTTGGGTGGTGTCACGTCCCGTTCTTACCTTGGTCACTGTGAGCACAATGTCGGTGGAAGTGACAAGGGGCTGAGGATTTCCGGTCAGCTTGTAACCAATCACTTCGGGAAGCACCATGCTGATGGGCTGCCCCAGCATCACAGCTTCCGCTTCAATGCCACCAACACCTGGACAACAACAAGAAGATGTGACAGCACAACCATTGTCTTCTCATGCAGACAAATGAGAGGATGGTGGCTGGGGAACACATTAGAGGGGAACACTGTCTCATTTGCAGGTCCTGCAAATATGCTTAACACCTTATTTTCTTCAGCGGGGCGGGGAGGGGAAATCACCAACACTTCCAAATTAGAAATGTTGCCTACAGGTTGTCTAGAGGAGATTTTTACTAGGCATCACTGCATTTCTTCTTGGAAGAAACAGCTGAGTTTATCCACAGAGCACACAACTAAATTGTGCACTCATATCCTTCTTTTACTACTACAGGAGTATCCTTCCAACTACTGCACTTATATCCTTCCTCTTTCCCTCTTGCAAGGAACCCAAGACTGCTTACATGTTCTGCCTCCTCACAACAACCCTCTGAAGTAGGCCAGGTGGAGAGTCAGTGGCTGGCCCAAAGTCTTCCAGGGAACTCCATGGCATTGGGAATGACGGGAACCCAGATCTTCCTAGCCCAAAACTCTAACTGCTATACCACACTGTTTCTCAACTAAGACAGCTTTCCCCAAGCTGGTGCCTTTCAGGTATGTTTGACTACAATTCCCATCATACTTAGCCAGTATGTTCAACAGATTTGGAAGACACCAGGTTGGGGAGGCTGATCTCAGAAGCTTTACTACTAGCTGATCTGGTAATGCTTTTCTAGCACGATTGGTGGGCAGGGAGAAGAAAGAAACCTCATCTGGAATGGGAAGACAGTCAAATGTTTGGCTTGTTTGTAAGTGCTGAGTCAAAACATTCCCCAGAAACATTAGAGACATTACCATTAGGGTTTTCTATGGGAACCATGAAACTATTAGGTGTGTTTTTAATTGGCTTTTAATCTTCTGCAGGTTTCACATTTGAGACAGAAGATGTTGTTGTTAAAGCTGCATGCGCTTTTATTTTTAAACCCTGGTTTTAAATCATTTGTTGAAGACTTGGAGCTTCAGGGATCTAGATCAGTATTTCTTAGCACATAATAAATTACTACCTATCTAACTCAACTTCTCTTCGCTCATTTCTGTCTACAGACTAGAAAATATGAGATCACAAGACTCTCTTAACCACTGTTAACTCCAATCCTCTTAGCTTAACTATGGTCAGAGGATTCAGTGACACCATTAATCACCCCCAAAAAATCAAACCGAAAGAATCCATGCAGAAAATTTATTATATTTATACCTATCTTTTCAGCCAGGCCGGCCATCAAAATGGTTTGTGAATTTAACCCATGCAGAGATGCAATGCAATTAGGGAAACGCCAAGGTGTGACTCTGTACAGTACAATCATAATGTGAATGTGTATATATGAGGCACAGTCTCTAGCAATTGATAGTACAAGCAAGGTCCCAAGTACCTCCCTTTGTAGGGAGTTGGAGAAGCTGCAGTTGACACAGGGGCTGGCTGTGGCCCATGGCCCTTCATATTAGTCTACTCACATGCTTTGAGCAGTGGGAGAACCCATTCCAAATCTCTCTGTTGTGCACATGGCGCTTAGCATAGTAGCAGTAACGTCTCAGCATTGCAAAGCAATGCAGCACCTTCACAACCGGGGCAGATGTGGTAAGGACACGGGACATGCCAGAAATCTGGTCAGCTTCTTGCAGCTTGCATTTGGGCCTTGGGCTTCAAGCCTTATATAAATACCAAGTTGCCTTACTCCAAGATAAACCACTGGTCTGAAAACAATTATGATTAATTTCATTTCTATACTGCTCCATAGCTGAAGCTCTCTGGGTGGGTTACAAGATATAAAACAAACCAAATATCTAGCCCTGTGTTACAGGGGGAACACATTATTTTTGGCCCTGAGGACTGCATCAGAGGCCTGCTGGGAAAGCAGGAGCTCACATGCATATGGACACACTCACTCAAACAGATCTCACATACACTCCATCCGCAATGATCTTGGTGTTACAACAACAACGCTAGCTCCGTGTCAAAGCATTAAAGGTCTGAAGCCTTGCTTTGCCTCGCTTCCTCTCCCCCCTCCCCCCAGTCCAAAGACAGCCATGAAAACCCCAACTCAATCCTTCCACTTAAAAGGAAAAACACACTAGGAACAGGCTGTATGGTTTGTTGCCATAGAAGCTCTACTTCTAAACTATCCTAGAAAGCAGCCAAGAACCTTCAAGAACAGCTTCTTAGGATGCTCTAGGAATGTAGCCTCTATGACACACACATCATAGAGTACTTTCCTAGAGTGTTTCTTCTCCCTCTTTTGTGGTAGTGGCAGATGTAGAAGGCTGTCAAACAGAAGTAGGGAGCCAGGTGCTGCTTTTGGCCCATGGGCCACAGTTTCTGTACCAATGCTGCACTGCTGACACTGACTGGCAGCAGCGGTCAAAGCAAGTTTTTAATCAGATCTGCTATCTGCTATCCTTTTGATTGATGCCAGGAATTGGACTGTGCCAAAAGGACATGCTCTCACACTGAGTGCAGACCCCTCCTCGCTACTTCAAGGGGATGGGGAAAACAGGTAGTGGTTTAGAGACACATATGGTGCCCCTTCTGCATTTTGTTCTGCACAAAATTTTAGTTCTCTTTAGATCGCACCAATTGAGATGAATGGGACTTGGGAGTACTAAGGAATCACTAACTTAAGCCCATTCATTTTAATAGGCCTACCCTAAGATTGGAAACAATCAAACAGAAGTCGACACAAGGTGGAACTCCATTAGACTGGACCTGGCCATGCTAGTGGCCTTACAGGGGATAAAGCACCTGATGATGTATCTTCTGCCCACCCATGGCCTAGAATACTGTAGGAACAAAATAAAATTCTTCATGCATTAAAAGTAGCAGCAACAACAGCACACTGCGGTAATTCTCATCAGTCCCTCCTATTCTTAGACTTTTTCTTGACCTGATACCCAAAACATCTGGAGGCCACCAAGTTGCAGGCAGCTGCCTTCTAGGAGTCTTTGTTCACAGGTGAAAACCCTTACAAAACTATTGTGACCAGATTATTTAAGTGTTTGTCCATGCACACAGTACAAAGCCAACCAGTAAACACATATTTCTCAAACTTTTTGAATATAAAAATACCACATTTTCAACTTGTTTATTGTGAAAACAAGAAGAAACAGGCTTAGCTTAGCCGCAATTAAAAACGAACACAGTCTCTTTCGTGCATTCTGCCAAATTAACTACCACCCAGTGAACAGGTAGCTTAAGCTTATGGGCACTTACCCCAGCCAAGGACTCCTAAGCCATTAATCATTGTGGTATGTGAATCGGTGCCCACCACACTGTCTGGGTAATAATACCCATTCTGATCAAAGACGACTCTTGCCAAGTATTCTAAATTCACTTGATGGATAATCCCGGAGCCTGGAGGGATAATCCTCATGTTCTGGAAGGCCTGGGAGCCCCACTAAAACACAAAATGGAAAAGGTGCAATCCCTCAGGTGCAGGAAAAAGTAAGATCCCGCCAGAGCTTTACCTCTCCCACCCAAGCGCCATGTTCTGTCAGGTGGTCCTAAGATACGAAAAGTCAGGAAACCAGAGATTCCATCCCTGACTTCATCCTTGCATCTCTAAAGTTCCACCCCGGCATCACTGTTCACTACTTTTGAAACCAAAATTCGGAAATCAAGCAAAACCAGGACAACAGTTTTCCTACAGCAGATGGTCTGCCTTTATGGCAGACTCAAAAATTCAGTAGAAATCACAATCTTCAAAATCTGTGCATGTTTTTTTTTCTTTTTTAACAGAAGAAATTTGCCATTAGCAAGACAAAAACCAACAAAACTCGACACTGTAGGCCCAAGGGCACGTGCTACTCTTCATTCCTTCCCATCTTCTGAGAGATTAAAAACTTTACTGCAAGGCTGAGTTACTTGTGGTCCTCCAGATGTGCTATGCTGGCAAGGTTTGATGGGAGTTGTGGTCCCAGAACATCTGGAAGGCCACAAATTACTCATCCCTGCTGTACAGGTTTAGCCGCCTCCTCTCTCTGGTTGCAGTTTCCAGTTCATGGGAGGATCACAGAGCAGCTGCAGTTCTGCCATCTGTCCACCCCTGAACTGGCCTAACTCTTGGGGCTAACTGAGCAGGCGGCTGGACCTTCTGGCCCCTTCCAACTCTTCTATTCTACAATTCATACAAGAAGAGGTAGAATTCTTCCCTTACCTTTAAGAACTCAAATCTTTCTTTGTTCCTTTCGAACTCCAATTCTTGATTCTTCTGCAAACTGTCTGGTCTGCAAATACAAGAAAAAGAAGGATTATCAGCATGGTAAACCTTCAACAGGATGTAGTGCGAGGTCCAACGTGTGTGGGCAGAAAGAAAGACAGGAAGAAAGGCTTGTATTTATTGAGCTCAGCTGTTCTATGTGCTTTAATTACTTTGCACCGGGGAGCTAGAGAAAAAAGCAGTGAAGAGAGCTTAAGTAGGTTTTGTGGTAATTCTGCTGTCTGGCTCGAGTGCTAATTCCATATTGAATGCAGGCACATTGGCAGAGTCTAGCCTGAATGTAAAAGTAATGGAAAGTTGAAAAACATTAATTAGCTAAGCAGTACGCATTCCATGGGCAGGAAATTGCTGAGTTGACAAAAGTTGTTCCCTGCTTTCCAAATGTACCGAATGGTCCAAGGACTAGTCTCTGGATTACACAGTTATCCAAGAACACAAGAAGAACTGCGCTGGATCAGACCAAAGGTCTGGTTTCCGGTTTCCCGCATGAGCCATCTTTCGGGAAGCCCTCAAACAGGGCAAGGAGAAAAGTGCTCTCCTGCTCGTGTCCTCTGGCAACTCACATTCAGGACCTTGTTACCAGCCCCAGTTGTCGGAGGCAGCACACAGCCACCCAAGGCCTTCTCTTCCATGAAGCCATCCAATCCCATTTCAGAGGAGTTTAAAGGTGTGACCCTGTGTTGTTGAATTGGGAGGCTTACTGTCATCCCACAAAGAGCAGGGGAGGTGGTGCAGAGGCTAAGAAGTGCCAGACTAGGACTCTGGAGATCCAGGTTCTAGTCCCCGCTCAGCCATGGAGCTCACTGGGAGACTTTGGGCCAGTTGCAGACTCAGCCCAACCTACCTCATGGGGTTGTCATTGTGCAGGTAAGATTGAGAGGGGCAGGAGAATTAGTTAAGTTACACTGGAAGGAAAAAAGGTGGGATATATATACTCATACAAACACACACCAATCATCAAGCAAGCAAGCAATCTCTCCCCACTTGCTTGCCCCCATCCTGGATTTCCTGCTCTGCATTTTCCGCTCGGCAGTCTTTTTGGCCCATCTATCCAGAGCATTTTGGAAGGAAGGGAAAGGAAGCTGGAGGAACATCACATTAGCTCAGTTTTCCCTCCTTCTTTCTCCCAGCCTTGAAGAGCAGCCGGCTTGGTTCTTTCTGCCCTGGCTGCAGGTTGACTGGTGAAGGGGATCGGAGCGCTGAATCCCAGCTCCAAGGTGAGAGAGCTGCCTAGATGCATGGTGTGGATTCCTAAGTTAAAGTCTCCTCCTCTTGTGACAGCAAATTCCATGCACTGTGCAAATTCTGTTGCTGTGTGGAGACAGCCTTCCATTTGCCTGCCAGGAGACCTGCACCCTTTGGCTTCATGGGTTGATCTTGCGTTCTAGTACTGCGAGGGAAGGAGAAGGACTTCTATCCACTTTCTCCATGCCAGGTATAATTTTTCACACTTCATATTCTTCCAGCTTTACTTGCCTTTTCTCTAAGCAGCCTTTCAAAACCCGAAAGGTGGACCACAACTTGGACTATAACTACAACCAGCCTAATATGCTAAATATTCATTCTTAACGAACTACTTAGAATGTAACTATTTGAGGCTCTGATGCCCAACATTCAAGGCTGAGGACACTCGACTTATTCTTGGAAATGTTAAAGTTGCTGGGACCTGAGCTGACAGGAAACACAGTTTGTCTTCCTCTCTTCAGAAAAAGCCCTCAAGTTTACAGCAGGGCCAGCCTTATTATAGGGTAGGGAGAAGCAGTCGATTTGGGGTGTTACTCAAAGGCAGGAAATGGTCAGTTATCAAATCTATTATCACTGTATTTTTAATGCCAGGGAATATGCTAATAGGATTTTCTGCCTTGGTGCCAAAATAACTTGGCTAGCCATGTTGACTATACAGCTAGAGTGTGTGTGTGTGTGTGTGGACACCAGTTGCTCTTCCACCTTGTAGAGCAACATATCTTGGACTGGCTCTGGTTTATAGCGTACATTTTTAGACAAAGGCCTGAACATCTCCTTTACTGTCAGTCTTCATTTTTTGATACACCATTTTATTTTTAAATGATGTAAGCAGCCCCAAATTGCTTGCTTGCTTTTCCTTTTTTTGTGGAAAGGTTAGACTCTCTTATTATTCTTCATATGTGGCTCTAAAAGCCATTTTTCTGGCTGAAAAGTAGGATTAAAAATTCCTTCAAACAAATAAACAACTCCACCCCCACCCCCGATGACACATCTACAGACAGGTAATTAATTAAGAAAACAGAAGCCTTGAGATACTTGCAAGATTGATTAACCCCCCAGAAGTAGATGATTACCGAGGCTTAAGGAAATTTAATGCAAGAATTTAATGAACGCTAGCTACTTTGTGAGGGTTTCTTTCATCCAGCTGGAATCAAAATCCTTTGCCATGCCTTACCTTTTATTAAAGTCAACTTGGATGGAATGATCAATGACTAAATCGGCAGGACAGATCGGGTTGATTTTTTCCGGGTCTCCTCCCAGATCTTTCACAGCATCTCGCATAGCAGCAAAATCGACTACTGCAGGGACACCTCTGCAAGGGAACAGTTAAAGGAAACAAGGCATATAGATGAAGTAGCATCCCAGGCGCCACGTTCATTTACAAGTGAGACCCGGCAGCCAAAATGCACAAAGAGAAAGTGCCTTGATAGAAGACCAGCATTGGTACTGCTTTGTAGCGTGGGACAAATTTTTCCCAAACCAACAAGTCACCTGCTGACTCTCTCCCTCCTTCCAATCACTAGCACTTTTGCTTTCAGTCTGCACTCTGTGTTAACCATAATGCGCTGTGGTTGTCTGAATGAACAAACTCTGGTTGGCGCTGGACTTCCAAACCAGAAGAAGAAATCAAAAGATGTGTGTAAGAGTTTGCAGATTTAGTCAGTGGGTTGTATCCAATGTTCGTCTAACTGTGAGTGGATCTGTTGAAATGAATGGGGCAACTGATAACAGTTGACATACAAATGGAAAAGGGGCTAGACAGAGCGCACAGGCTTTGTTTCCTGTTCCCTAGGCTAAATCATGCAAGATCATCTGAACTGAACCTTGGGGAGGGGGGCTCAGTTGTACGAAGCGAAATGCTCAGTTTCTCTGACTATGAAAAGCTTGTAAAAGGCTGGAACACACAGGAAAAGGCATTCAAGTTGGAAATAATAAAATCACTGTATGCGAAAACAGTGGAGGTATAGCTATTCTGTCACCTGCCGCTGAAGTCATCAAGGTGACAAAATAACAATTCTAGGTCAGAGGAAGATACTAAGTCAGCTTTAAGGATGGAGTGAAAAAGTTTCTTTGGATTTCACCTATTACAACAGGCTCATTGTTGTGAAATTCTTTGAAAGGTAACCAGGGTAACAATTCAACTTGGGCAAAGAAAATTCCAGACTAAATGTAATCTGGAATAGAAGGGAAACCACTCAGATCTCTTGCAGTACTACTTCACAGAGTATTTCTTCAACTATCTAAAATCCACTCAACTAACCATCCATCCACAGATTTCAGTGCTGAGTTGCACCATTGCTAGTTATGAAGGTGACCTTTGGGATAGAATTAGGTGGGCTTATTTTAACTCTCTTCCAAAAGATTGCCTGTGTATAATACAATTTCTTTAATGCAGGATTAGGCAAAAGGTAGATCTCCAGATGTTTTGGTCTTCAACCCCAGCATTCCTGACTACTAGCTATGCTGGCAGGGGCACCTGGGAACTGAAGTCTCAAACATCTGGGGATCTATATTCTCCCCACCCTTGCTGTAGATGAATTTTATTACATCAATTTTTGCAGCATCGCAACAACTGATTAAAATATTTAATCTTTTCAAGAGTTGCTCCTCTTCCAAATATTGTTACTGGAGTCTACTAAAAGCTGAACCAAATCCAGGGTAGCTGAAGGACTGCCTTCTCCCACAATCACCTACCCAGTTAAGATCTGACCCAGAGCCCCTTCTTGAAGAGCCATCCCCAAAGGAGGTGAAAGGGATGGCGAATGGAAGAAGGGCCTTCTTGGTGGTTGCACCCAATCTCTGGAATCAGCTCCCCAGATCGCTTTGGTGCCAGGAGAAAAGAGTTTTATTTTACAGGCATTTTAATAATTGATTGAATTGTACTAAATTAATTTTAATTGTAGTTTGATCTTAAATATTTTTAGTGATGACTTATCCATTATCCTGGCTTAGAATAAATCTTGTTAAAATATTAGTTTTTAAATTTAATTCTTAATTTTTTAAAAATATCATAATTATACAATGTTGTTCACTGCCCAGGGAATCATGTGTGTTTCTATTGAGTACAGTTTTTAAATCCAGCAAATAAAAACATCTTTCCAAGAGCATGTGTCAAGTTTCTGTCTAAGACTGGAAAAGCAGGCAACATTCACCTGGAATAAGTAAGCATGTTATCAGTCTCCTTAAGATCACACTACTCTGTTGGCACTTGCTCCCTTACACTCCAACAGTACTAACGGTTTTTAAATTTACTTCTGCCAAAGTAGAGACACTCCGGGGCTTTTCAGAAAACACACAGGTCTCATTTTCTTCTGAAAAGCTTAATCAAAACTGCTGCTAGCCAGCAAACTGAGCTTGTCCGCATGTGGGATCACTGTAATTTTATGTGTGAATTACAAATGCAAAAAATGAACGAAGAAGCCAGTCACTTGGCCTCCAAGTCTGGTTTAAGCATCACTCGGGAACTACAGCTTGAATTAGAAACCAGCACTATCAGACACCAGAACTAGGGACATTTCCTGACATTTTACAGGTCTAAAGGCCAAAGAGCAGCAAACTTTAGATGACGTATAATGAAATCTGACCTGTTACGTTTTTACCTGAAGGTCTGTTTACCCAACTCAGTGCAGTCTGTTGCAAACTCCATTTGGTGGCGTAAACCACAATGTAAACTGATTTGCATTTCAGTATGTCCACTTTGTTTCTATGATAATGCCCTGCTCACTTATTGCAGCCTTTCCCAGTTACCTCTACATGTTGCATCAAGCAAGTCTGCAAGGACGGTACTGTCCCTCTGCCCAGGGGCTCGTGCGTGGGGCAAAAGCAAAGCTCTCCAAAGAAAACTTTGCACAGGTACAAGCACAACCCATACTAAAAAGGGGGTCAAAGACTGGTATTTCATGAAGGCACCTCTAAGAAAAATGAAGAATACAGATAATCCTGGGATAATTGTTTGCTCTAGTAAAAGGCATGCTGCAGAGTTTTTTCTTCTTTACTGCTTCCTCTAGGATAAGAAGGTGGGGGGCATTTTCTGGCAATAGAGGCGGTTTTGGGGAGGAAGAATTCAGCCCCCAGCCCTGAAACAGTCTCTCACTAGTGCTCTGGAAGATTTGGATTTGATTTGATTTTTCTCCAGTGTGTTTGTCTCTGTGCGTTTCTAAGTCTAGATTATGGACTGTAGGACAAAAACTATATGGCAACCTGTTTTGAAGTTTTAGTATTAGCATACCTGAAGTGCCAGATCCTGCCTAATCTTGGAAGCTAAGCAGGATCAGGCCTGGTTAGAATTTGGATGGGAGACCTAACTATCAAGAATGGTGTCTTTGTGCTTTCTTCTCCTCTCATCCCTTTGAAACCTACAGTAAAAACTGTGCGATGCCCTGATCTCAGCATGCTCCTCATTACCCAACCAGCCACAGCCAGTGATATCAACCAGGGATGTGGTGCCCATCTGTCCTACTTTACAGAAGACAGTCCTTTGTTTGAAAAGATCTCTCGGTACAGTTCTTGGTTTAAAGACGTTCAAAGGGCTGTTCAGTGGCAGGAACATAAGAGAGCTGCAATGGATTTGAGCAAAAGCCTGCCTAATCCAACCACCTGCTTGCAAAGAGGCCAACTGGATGCCGAGGGGAAGTCCACCAGGGGGACCAGGATGCCACAGCATTCTTCTGCTCTCTGATACTATCGTGACTAGCAGGCATGGATAACCTGCAGCCATCCATCACTCCACTCGCTGAAGTCTGGTTTAGAGATAAAGAACCTGAAGGACAGAGGCCTTGCTGCTCTCTATCAAGAGTTCCTCCATCATAGCACCAGCAGGCAAAAAGTCGCCTAATCCCACCTTTCCAACTGGAAGCAACTGAGCTGCATTGCTATTGAAATTAAAGAATCTGTTTCTGAATTTGAATATATCCAGCTAAACTAACATAAGGTGTTTTTATGCAAGCATATGCTCTCTTTTTTGCATTTCCTCTGTTTGGTGGCCACCCTTAAGGGGCAGGGAAATGCGTGTCTCTTAAGTGAGGCCATCAATACTCTGGCTGAATTTTACTACATTACAGATGACTGGGGTGTTTGTGAAAACATGACACCAAATGCCATTCTGGACAGCTGCCTATTCATTCATCAAAATGTATAGTTCTGCCTTTCTATACCTGAAATTACTGCAATTTTAAATTAAGTTTCTTCCTGTGCTTTGTTATAGACCCTGGAACCTGCTGTACTGAATGGGTTAATCTTTGAGTTCAGCACTGGCAGCTTAGAAACAAATAACAGAAAATGAGGGATTTCTTTGGCACTGATGCAAATATACTGGTTTATACTTGTGGAGTGTGTGTAAATGAGCAATTATGAATAAAACAACAAATCAACTTGGGGAATCTAGCTCCTACATTAAGTGGTTTTAGCTCTTACTTTGCAAGGATTCTTTTTAAGTTGCCTTTTGTATTTTTAAGGGATGGGTTGACAGTGTTTCTCCCCCAATTTTATTCCAAGGTTTGTGGAGGCATGTGGTCTAATGGTTAGAGTGCTGGACTGGGACTGCATTCTAGTCCCTGCTCAACCGTGAAGCTCACTGGGTCACTTTGGACCAGTCACAGACTCAGGGATATTTTTCTGAGGAGAGGGGGATAGCATTTTAAGCTGCTTCAGGTGCCTTGTAAGAGGAAGAAAGATATAAATGTAATGTGCAAAATATTTGAAAATTTACATTTGTTAGATTTGGTTGAATTATCATCTTTTCTTTTTTTAATGATTTTTTTTTTTTAGTAACCTAGCCATAAATGTATGCTGTAGGGAGTCCTTGTCACTGAACTCCATGATGCAGCCCTACATGAAATTCAGAACGATTTTCTGCTCCCTTTTCCCAACATGAAGCCCCAGAACGGTGGCAGGAGACAGACATGCAGGGTTAGCCCCGCCCCTGAAGGCGATGGTGGTGTGGATGGCGGGATCCACTGAGGCCTGGATTGATTTTAGCTCCCAGCCCACCCAGTTGAAGACATTTGGTGCAACGGTACAAGTAAAAGCTGCAGACTTTCTGCCATTCTTCTTTCGCGTGGCCACATCACAGGATTCCTTCAGCACGCAGCCACCGCTGAATACGCTCTTGGCCAACGTGTGCCGACATCAGCACAAACTGAAAGGAATAGTGGGGGTCACAAAGGCCAACAGCCATGTGGCTCTTCGTGTGCCCCCACAATTTCCTGATTACATCTGGCTGTGGTGACTCGCTGAAAGATTCATTTCTGCACATGACTCAGCAGCCTCGTGACACTCTCAGCCTGCGCTGCTAAAGATGTAACGTGCACACTCTGAGTGTGTTTTTTCCAGGAGCATCCCAGTGCCAACGGGGTTACACATCTCACTCTGGTTTGTGCTCAGGCTAAAACGAAGCCACAAGTAATGTCAGGTGCTCTTCTCCAAAGAGCTTCAGCTTCTCCCAAAAACAACAATGGCTTAAACACATTTAAGATTAATTCCACCAGCTGTGCTAAAATGCTGCCTGTTTTTTCCTCTTCCCAACCCCTCTCCTTTTCCTTTCAGGTTGCTTTTTTCTAGATGTCAAGCATATAGGAAGAGATTGTCATGTTTGCATTGCAGTATGCAAGTCACTCCAGGAGCAGGAATACTAATAATACAAGGAGGAGGAAGTATGACAACAGCCTAGTCTTACATAAAACAAAATAAAAATTCTGTAACTCACGTAAAGTCTTGCAGAATCACTCGTGCAGGCTTAAATGGCACTTCGATGTTCTTGTGCTGCATCACATTCCAGTTCAGGATATTTTCAACATCATCCTGCTTGACCAGAAAGTTGTCACAATTCCGGACTGCAGCCTCCAGCAAGACTCGGATAGAAAACGGCAAGCGCGCTGGAAGGGGGAGAAGGAAAAAAGGGTAAGCTGAAGAGTAAGACTTTTCCCCAGGGTTGCCAAACTGCAGCCAAGGTTTTCAGACGCTTGAGCTGCACCAAAGAGAAACCTTCTCTGCCACTGATACAGAGGGGCCAAAGCTACAGAGCATATGAAACGGGGGGCGAAACACGGGATGCGTGAGGGGCTGGCTCGGGGTCGGGGGATGCACACGGGGACAGTTCTGGTGCACGCAGACCTATGCACACTTATGTGCGGACACTCCGGTAGTGATGCTGAAAAAAGAGTCTGTGTCGTGATCACTGGGGAGGGATGGAGAGGACTGGAGGCAGGAAAACTAGCCCAGAGAACTGGTAAGCAACAGCCAAAACGATCCATTGGCTGGGGAAGTCTTGGTCACACGATGCAAATGACCACGTGACTTGAGCTTAAAAGCTCCAGGTGCAGCAACTTCCCTTGAATGCAAGCAACGTACCATATCTTTGGTCTCCCAAATGGCTCAGGTTGAAGAAGTTCTTGGTGGCTTGGCTGGGGTCCAGAGGCTCCACGGCATGTGTAAAAGGGTTGCTCATGGCTGAGAAGGCTTGATGTTGCTGCAAGATACGAGGCACCGTCATGTCAGTGAATTAAGTTCCATGCTTTAAATTAAGAGAACGGGTGTGATACAGTGGTCAGAGAGGGGGACCAGGATGCAAGAGATCTGGATTCTAGTCCCCACTTGGGCCATGAAGCTCACTGGGTGAATTTGGGCTTGTCATTGACTTTCAGCCTAACCTTCCTCACAGGGTTGCTGCTGGGAAGATAAGCCATAGAAGACGAGGTCTATGTAAGCCACCTTGGGTGTCCTGCAAGAGGAGGACATGTGGGATATACATGCAATAATAAAGCAATTAAAATAGCATTTTAAAAATATTTAAAATACCTTGTATGCATGTGGTCAGACATGCCTAGCTATGTATGTCCTTTTGTGATTATGGAACCAACTTGCTATCTTCTTGAATAGAGTTCCTCCCAAATTTCCCACTGGAGGTGTGATTCTTGCAAAATAGTAACAATAAAATAGCTCTCTTGCCTCTCCCCTTTAAATTACAGTCATGGAATTAAGTAGGATAATTAGGCTGCTGCACCCAAGTCTTCCCAGGAGGTCGAGAAATGCAGGATGAGAAAGAAAGGAGGCCCTGAAGTCAACATAGTGTAGCTCCACATTCTGGCAAGCAAAAAGGGCGGAAAGCAAGAGAGATGTGCCACAGCAAGACCATGATCAAAGGCGAGGGGCTAACAGTGAGAAGTTGGCATCTACAGCATGAAAATCTTCATGGGACAGACAGCGATCCTTGGGGGTCAAAGTTTCCTCCTCACCCCTGTACTTGTTGCCTGGAAGTAACTCCCACTGAACTCAATGAAACTTCATCCTAAACTGACTTGTATTGGGTTGCAGTCAAACTGTCTGGAATTTGCCCTCTTCTTCCTTGCATAAAATTGAAATGAACACACTACTATTTAAACTGACTTCTATTCTGAAAATTCTATTTATCTTGAAGTTCTATGCTTGTTTTGGGATCTATACAATATAACCTTATGGCTTTTTGTCTTTTCTTTAAACAATGAATAGAAAAATTACATAGCTGCTGCTATGGTGGTGCTGATGTCTGCACATTTCTTTTGCTTTTGGAAATGTGCAGAGGGTTTCCCTGTATTAGCTTAGCTGCAATCCCTACAACAATCCAGTCATATTATCCCCCATAGTGCACTTGGGGTGAAGGACTGAAGGTTAGACAGAGCAGCTTGCCTAAGGTTACCTCATGAATTCATGGCAGAGGTAGAATTTGAACTGCGCACTTCCTGATACACAGTTTGGCTCTTAGTTGCTATGCCATATCAACTGTTTTGCTCTTAATGTGCCACCACATGGTAAGGCTTGAAAGATTTCAAAGACACTAAATTGAATCAGCAGCAGGCTGCCATTTCCATCAGGTCCAGGGAGCATGGCAAATTTGTAAGCCGCCTCAGGTTCCTTGCAAGAGGAAGAAAGGTGGGGTATAAATTCAATGCAATAACAACAATATAGGAAATCAAACCCAAAAAACAGGAATACACTGGGCCGCCTATCTCTGGATTAAAACCCCCCACCTTTTGAGGTCATCTCCCCTTTTCTTCCTGCAGATGTACCCACCTCCATGACTTTCCTTGCTTTCCACGTGCCACTGAATTAGCTATATTACTAGTGCTTTTGACTCGGTAGTCTCAATCATGTTTGCAATGCAAAAAGATTTATATTTTGGACTGGCAAGGATCTGTGAATATGAAAGGAACGTAGGCAAGCCAGTGCAAAGAGAATGGCATAGTGAGGGAATTAGCTGACTGGGGTTTCAGAGAGCATCTTCTGAAGAGGAAACTCTCAGTGGGGAAACGGATACACGGTGCATGCATTTCCCCGTAGATCTCAGCCTTACAAACTCATTTGGAGCATAGGAAGATAGGAAGCTTCCAGCTCAAAAAAGCGGCTACTGTAGATCACTCCCCTCAATATGCTTTTCATGGCCCGCAGCTTGCCGAATGATAATTTAACTTGATGGTTTTGGTTGGAGCACTGTCACTGGCATTACAAGTGCCTGGAAACCAATTGTTCCATCGAAGAGGGAGGAGGGAATCAAGCTTTTGGGCCATGGCCCCACACATCTGTACTGATTCTTGGTTGTCAGACTCAGGCGGCATGCACGGAGAACCACTGTGTAGAAAAGGGTGCTACAGGACGCTGTAGATCTTAGTGCGTGCGATTTTTGAGACTCCCAAAGTGGCTGCTTGAGTCACGGCCTGCAAGAGGCACTTGGCATAAAACAGCAGCCTACGTGGAAATGTTACGCATGAGCATGGTCCTGTTGTGCAAACCTAAACCTGAAGTTTGCACTGTGGCGGCAGAAGCAAAACGCAATGATTGCCCTTTGTAAGCAGGTGAACTCCTGGGAGCTTCATTCTTCTCCCCAGCAAGTTTGCTTTAAGGGAAAATCACACAGGTCTTTGCTGCGGCCATGATGGCTAATTTGGCCGTCATAAAAACAGCCAGGGGAGGGGGCATGAGCACCTCTGTGAGTCTCATATGCCCTAAACTGTAAGTGTGGGCCTCAATTACAAATATGAGCTTGCACTCAGACCGTATCCCAATATCAGCCTTGATAACCACATTATGCTACAGTCTGAGAAAGTAAATTTAAATTGGTTACATCTGTTTAGATTCCTCCTGCTTGCCAGTTTTTCTTGACATCACGCATAAAAAAATTGCACATGCCATGGAGCTAAATTGTTCTCCCTGTTCAGCTGTATTTCCCCAGGATGATGTTTTCCTGGTGCCCCTTCTTGCTTGAAAGTTTTGCTGGTTGCTACTCAAACACTAGGTAATGCACAAGCAACGGCGCCACATTGTTGAATGTCCAACCTGTTGCTAAAGAGCGCCTTTCCTTTTCACTTCTTGAAATGTTTCTGTTGACTCATGCATCTAAGCGAGGGACTAAGCAGAAACAAAACGAAGTATAGAAACACTTCCCTAATTAGTCAGCACAAAATTTCTCATTTGCAGATAAAAAAAAGGAGTTGTTTGGCAAAATTGAGGGACTTGGGCCAACTCAGTAAATGTGTGAGCAATACTTTTATTTCAAGGGTATTAAACCGCAGGCCCACAGGCAAAATCTGGTCTGCCTGGGGTCCTGATTCGGGTTCCCCAGATGGCCAGAGCCCTTCCCTCCAAGTGGGTGGTGGGCTCCTAGATTTGGTGTGTTCTAGAAGGCTGCAGCGGTTCTCCAAAGGCTTACTTACTGTGAGGCAAAGAGAATTCAAAGTGAAAATATGCTGGCACCTTTTGGATTGCTGCCCCTCTCACCTGCCATGGAAATGCAGCCCTCGAGACCTTTCCCATAAAGGAATTTGGACCCGGGCTGCAAAAGGTCCAACACGCCCACCATTGGCCCGCAACCTGTTGCCTTATTTTCCGCATGTACTGGCAGTACTCTATAATAGCCGACGATGGTGCATTCTGCAGCACAAGGCAGCGGCTGGGGCTATTTTGAAGCCTTCCCCCCGCCCCAATCCCTTGCATGGCTAGTAGCTTTGAACATATTTGTTATTCATCTGGCAAAGGATACTGAAGACTACCACAGCCGGTTGTCACTGATGAGTCCCCAGTAACCAGCTTGTTCACCTGGCAGCAAAATGAACAGATCAGGTATGGAGAAGTGTGCCGAGGCACCTGATCCGTAACTTTGAAGGGTTCCTCAAAGGCCACACCGTTTCTCAGCTGTGTGAGCTTTTGGTGGAAACCATTAAGAGTGTATGGAGTACTTTTCAATTCCTGTAGCATCTGACAAATTACTGGATCACTAATGTGTAATCAAATATTGCAAATTCTCCTGCTTCAAAAGCCTGGATGTGATCTGCCCTGCTCAGCCCTCCACTCCCTTCCTCTTCTTGCCTGCTTTTTCCAGCCTTGCACAGCCTCTGAGCATGCTCAGTCTTCACTGGCCTTTTTGGTTTTGTCAAGTAGGTAAGTTCTAAAGATTTTTTTTTTTTTTGGTACTTCTGCAAACCTCAGAATTTTGCCAAGTCTGCTTTTACGTGGTGCCATTTCAGCTACGTTAGGAATGGCACTCACACCTGAACATTAGAAACAGAGGGAAGACAGTTGGTTAGCATGCAGTTAGTTTTATCGTTGTTAAGAGCTGCTACTCCCAAGCTGAGCAACAGGATGGAGTAGAAATTTGAGGGCACAGTCCACTGCCCTTGCACAAGTTCTACTGAAAGTACAAAAATGGACCTTCTACAGCAGAACGACAAAGGAACCAATCACCTAAGGAGGTTGTGGGCCCTCCCACACTGAAGGCATTCAGGATGCAGCTGGAAGGCCCTCTGAGAGGGATGGTGTAACTGGGAGTCCTGCACTGAGCAGGGGGTTGGACCCAATGGCCTCTTCCAGCTCTGACTCTATGAACACCTTTGTGCAACTCCCATGGAACCATGCAAATATCTTTGAGGAGCATTTGCTGGCTTGATCGACCTCCCGCTTATCAGTTGTGAATCCCGTCAAACAAGGAAAGTTGTCTGCAGAAGGAAGCAAGCCTCTTCTCAATGTGGTTTTTGCTTCTTTCAAAGGGGAGCTGTTTCCTTTAACCAAACAATAAGAACAAAAATAATCTGGTTGTGGATGCAATTTTCATTTATTTTGTCTTTCTGTTGGTGAAGCACAATTGTAGCTTGTTCTCTAAAGATGAGACAGCAGACAAGTCTATGTAGATTGCTTAAGCCAATCCCACGGTGGTAGCAGGGACCTCTTGCTTATTGCTTTCCAAATATCCCTAGTGAAGTGGATCTTGCAGTGAGAACAAATTGTTCAACTATTGATTCTCTTCTCCAATCCCCATTTATGAGACACACTCTTAACAAAAATCTACTAGTAAAGGACCGACTGTTGTTTTAATCCTGTGTAATTAAGCCAGTGTGGTGTGGTGGTTAAGAGCGTGGGACTGGGACTCAGAGGATCTGGGTTCAAGTCCCTGCTCGGCCATAGAACCAGCTGGGTGACTTTGGGCCAGTCACAGACTCTC